ATGAATATATCTAAGTTCAAATTCATGATCATTTACTTATTAATTCTCATATATACACACATACATATATAGTGAATGAATATGAATACGTATATAAGTGTGAATATGAATGTGAATATCTGAATGAATATAAATATGAACTGAAATATGTAAATGTTCATATTCATCAGTAAGTATGAATGTGAATGTGAATATGTATATGAAAATAAATAGAAATATGAATATGATCATGTAATTGATGAGAATATGAATACGTATATAAATATGAATATGAATAAAATATGAATAGGAATAAGAACATGTATGAATATGTTAACATGAATATGAGTTTGAATGTGAATGTGAATGTGGATATGTATATGAAAATGAAAATGAATAGGATGAATATGTAAACATGAATATGAATTTTAAAGCGGAAATGAATATGAATACCAATATAAGAATAAATATTATGAATGTGAATATGAATGTGGAATGCGAATGTGAATGTGGATATGTGTATGAAAATGAAAATGAATAGGATGAATATATAAATATGAATATGAATTTTAATATGGATATGAATATGAAATATGTAATTAATTGATCTACATTTTCCATGTTTGTCTTATTTGTTCTTATCTTATAAATGTTGATATTCATATTCATATTCATATGTGTGTCTCTTGTGTATTTTAGGTCGCAATAGTTCCTGGCTTAATTTAAAGTATTTCTAAACGCAAACAAAGGCAACCACAACAATCGACATCCTATAAGGCTTATCCTAATACGCACGGCTTTAGTCAGTGTTTTTTATAGCCTGTGAATAACTTCAGGGGTCGCATTTCTCTGGCCCAAGAAAAGTGGAATTGATTCCACCGGATAATCAAAGCTGCTGGATTTATTAAGCCTTAATTTGCTCCTGGATGGACGAGTGGGTCACTGGCTGAGTGGATGTGTGGGCGTGTAGGTGGGTGGGTGGTTGGTCTGCCTATGCGCTCTACGGCCGTATATGGCTGACTGAATAACCGGCATTGCGATGGAAGTCACGAACAAATCAATCGCTTTCCTGGAAGTTGATTGTTTACAGTGTTGGCTACAAAGTGCGTAAAATTTCACACCCAATTTAATTGATATCAAAATGCGTCGCGTCGCGGCTTTTCCAGCCATTGCGTGCTTGTTCTCCCTTTGTATAGGGAGTTCAAGTTGCCCAAGGCTTTATTTGAGGGCGAACACCAACAGTTTGTGACGCCTTGATTTATATTAATTCATCCATAGCCGCTGGGCTGACTGGCTGCCTGGCTGCCTGACTGACTGAATTACGACAGGTCAGAGTGGGCGAACATGTGAGCCAATTAAAGTTACCAGTTGGGTCGAAAGACCCAAGGGAGGCACGTTGAGCAAGTGCAAAAAATCATTCATTGACATGTAGAAGCAAACATAACCGTATCAAAATATACACGCCAATAGACTCAATTGGACTAACTCTGGTATCGCATTAATCTTTTAATCTAAAGCTGAATCTGTTTGGGACAAACGCTGCATTCATTCAAGCTTCGCTTTATCTCAGTTCAGGTCCGATCACCCCTAAGACTTTTTGCCGCGACACTGAAAGAAACCGAGTGTAGTAATTATAATGAATAATCAATAATAAATAACACAATGCAAATATTCATAACATTTCCATAAACTAAGCTCATCACTGTCTGATGATCCTTAATAGTTTAATCATATAGCGAAATCATCAGGGTTCCTTTTTTCCCAGTGTAGCGCCTTGCTGACCCATAAAATGCTATCAGACGCTTGCTGCGATGTCTGTCTATGTGTTTGTGTGTGTGTGCCCAAAAGAGAGAGAGAGAAAAAAACACACAAACAATTCAGCCAACATGAGTCCTTTTCTTCATTTTTTTTTTTGGCTGACGGCTAGCGACACAAGTTGCCTGAGTGCTGGCCGAAAGTTTTGAACTAGTTCAAAAAGGTCGATTGCAAGAGCAACTTCTGTCACAACTAATTGAAACATTTAACTAACTTTAGACTAATAGCTCTAATAGCCACATCAATTAGCAAAGTTCGTCAAAGGAGCGTAAAATGAACTAGTTCAGCTAGTTCAATACGGCTATCATTGCCAGCTGACGGCACTCAATCATTTGCTTGGCAGCACTGCCACCGAGTCTTTTGATGAAGCGTTCATTTTAATTGCTCATCATGAGTGAAGCAAAGTGGTTGCGGTGGTGCAAAGTGGTTGAAGGGCTCACCCGCTGTGCTTCAACTTTTTCTCTCTCTCTCCTCTCTCTCCCTATACATATATTATTTTTTTCTGGTCAACGAACTTTGACGTGTCACCCAACACGGCCCCAACTGTTGGAGCATTTTTTTTTTGTGTTCAACTTTTTTCTAACTCGGACGGCATACCAAGGTCATAATTATGCGCAGCCATTCCATTACACACGCACACACACACACACGCACACACACACACACAGACACAGACACGCACACCCTATCATTGACATTTGTAATCTGGCATCATCGGACATGGAACACGATTATTGTGCGTTCATTTGAGGTTATGGCGTCGGCAACGTGCTCATGGGTTTTATTTCCTTACACCCTGTACCCACACAGCCAATGACTAACTAAGGGCATGATCAGGCTAAGAATGTGTATGCAAACCAGAAAGGCAAAGACAGATTAGCCTATAAAAAATTTTTTAATAATAAAATATATTTACAATAAACTAAACTATAAATTTAAAAACAAAAAAATCAACTCGAGTAAGACTTCGCAATAATCTAGTAAGAATACCTTCTATATTCAAAAAGTTCTTTTGAACTTTGAAAACCAATCTGGAAACTATTCTTAAACAATCCCAAAGTTAATTCATAAATCACAGATTCTTCATTTATTTTACAGAGTATTGCCAAGTCATCGTCTGTTCTGTGATGGCTCCTACGCTAGCTTTTGTTATGCTGGCGAGCCGTTAGCTGGCTAATATAATTGCTGAATATATCAATTAATCGAGCATTCTGTCGAATCATTCGTCCGACGCATCGCATCGAGGGCAACACGGTCGATGTATTGGCAATTTGGCAATGGGCGAAAAAATCAATCAGTTGGCCCCAACAATGCATATTGTGTTATCTAAAATATATGAAATGTAAAGTATTCTATATATGTATATATCTATCCATCGAATTAGCTGGCCTCAAACTGGATAATGTGAACTGACCGAAAGATCTTTCTAGAACTTTGCATGCATACCCTGAATTCATTGACAATGGGCATATGATAAAGTACAACTGTATGTAACAGTAAATACGATATTTAGCCAATGCCTCGTATATACATATGTATATTACAATCCGACTTTAGCCTCGTTCATCTACTCAACGGTTTGTCTATTCCTTGAAAACAAATACTTACTTAAAGCCTAAAGAAATGTTTTGATCCACACAATCGATAACTTTCCCATTCAATGAAATCGATTATAAGCGATATATAGCTTAAGCTATCTGAGTTAATTCATCGTACGTTAAGAGCGGCAGTCATCCAATGTCATGTAAGCATTTACCCATTTTGAGATTCGGGAATACTCGACACGACCTCAGGGTATCTGCTAGTCAATCACACCCACTACAACACTTATTCGATTTAGCATGCAATGAAGACTTTTACTCAGGGCCTGTTTCTGTCACAGAATGGCGTGTTTTGCGTTCTCTTAACTATTTCAATTAATTTCTTGGCCAGCAACAAGAAGTTTCCCAGTTGCCACTTGGCACAAATTGTGTTTACATGTCTCAACAGTTTTTAATCGCATTCATAGAAGAAATCAGAGTAAACAAACGCAAGTGTAAATTAATTATTTTCAGCCAAAACACAGAGCCAAACTGTAGAATGGAGGGCGAATTTCCAAGAAATCACTTCATCTAAATACAATTTAATATCTTAATTTTCAACAGCACAACGCATATAATTAAAAGGAATCGGCCACGCCCGGTCTATTCCTCTATTCATCACGCGCTGGGCGTAGATACCTCATTTTTGGTCCGTCCCCTGTGGGCGGACATATATCCGACAAAACTTTCTTGATCTTGGGTGATCAGCCCGAGTATATATACAAAATTTGAGGTCACAGGCATCAATAGTGTCCAAAATATAGCAGAATTTAAAAAATCACTATATATTCAGGTCCGATTTGCCACGCCCCTTATAATTTTGTCTTTAGACTTTATAGAATCAAAACATTGCTGATATACAAAAATTTCAGCGCGATAGCTGCAAAAGTCTTGGAGATACAGTTATATCCGATTTGCCACGCCCCCAATGGGCGGAGATATATCCACCATAGCTCGTGATCTTGGGTGGTCGACGCGGACCTATATACCATATTTCAGCTTCCTAGCTCTTCAACTAGCATGATTTCTGGCATATCGGACAAGGCATTTTCCGATTTGCCACGCCCCTAGTGGGGCACACTTTATAGATCGGAGATATACACGAGTATGTGTTCCAAATATCAAGTCTCTAGCTTCAATAGCGCCGAAATAGATTGCGTTCATACGGACAGACGGACGGACAGCAAGACGGACATTGCACAAAACCAATATACAAATTCACTTTCGTGAATGAGTATAAAAATCGAGCAACTTATATTTAAATAATTCCTGCACAAGGCTATACTATTTGAAATACGCCTTTTCGAAATGTATAGGGAAGGGGTGGATTTAGGAGTCGAATAGAAGCTCTAAAAAATTTGCCTCCTTTATTTCCGACTTTCCATAAGGCTTTTAATCGATAGCAAAATAACAGGAACAGTTATCGATTTTTTGAAACAAACTCGATCTGCGTGTGTTATAAGACAGATAAACAGACGGACAGGGCTAAACGGACTCATATTGTTGCCCTTCACAGCCAGGCCTCCTTCTGACAGTTCTATAAATTTTCACAAAAACAATATACCGTGATTTCGCATTTTCAATCAGTTCAGGGTATACTAAAAATATATATATAACAAGCACATATAACAATTTCAAACAAGTTTAATAGCATACAAAGAATTGACGCTGTCAGATGATGTTAAAATAATATGGGCTCTATATCAATTTAATTTTGCTTTCGGTCAAAAAGCTCATAGAATCTATCTTGGTAGAGTACAAAAATCGCTTTCCTAAACACACCTAAAAAATATTAAAAGGTGGTAAGGATTCGGATGTACTCGGTAAAGTTGGATTTATAGTCGACGAATCTGGACTGGTCGATCTAGTGGATATGGTGCTTGGTCTGCTTGGCCTTTGCGTGGGTGGTGTCCTACGGCTTGGTCTATTTGTGGTGGAGCTCGGTAAAGTTGGATTTATAGTCGAAGAATCTGGACTGGTCGATCTAGTGGATATGGTGCTTGGCCTTCGCGTTGGTGGTGTCCTACGGCTTGGTCTATTTGTGGTGGAACTCGGTAAAGTTGGCTTTGTAGTTGAAGAATCGTGACTTGTCGATCTAGTGGATATGGTGCTTGGTCTGCTTGGTCTTCGCGTGGGTGGTGTCATACGGCTTGGTCTATTTGTGGTGGAGCTCGGTAAAGTTGGATTTATAGTCGACGAATCTGGACTGGTCGATCTAGTAGATATGGTGCTTGGCCTGCTTGGCCTTCGCGTGGGTGGTGTCGGACTGCTTGGCTTACTAGCCGTGGTGGAGGATGGCTTTTCACTCGTTGGCTTAATTGTTGAGGTACTTCCCACTGTTGGCTTGGCAGTCGAAGGCTTCTGGGTGCTTGGCTGAGCTGTAGTTGTGCTTCCAACTGTCGGCTTGGCAGTCGAAGGCTTCTGGGTGCTAGGCTGAGCTGTTGAGGTACTTCCGATAGTTGGCTTGGCAGTCGAAGGCTTCTGGGTGCTCGGCTGAGCTGTAGTTGTGCTTCCAACTGTTGGCTTTACAGTCGAAGGCTTCTGGGTGCTTGGCTGAGCTGTAGTTGTGCTTCCAACTGTTGGCTTGGCAGTCGAAGGCTTCTGGGTGCTAGGCTGAGCTGTTGAGGTACTTCCGATAGTTGGCTTGGCAGTCGAAGGCTTCTGGGTGCTAGGCTGAGCTGTTGAGGTACTTCCAACTGTCGGCTTTGCAGTCGAAGGCTTCTGGGTGCTCGGCTGAGCTGTTGAGGTACTTCCGACAGTTGGCTTGGCAGTCGAAGGCTTCTGGGTGCTAGGCTGAGCTGTTGAGGTACTTCCAACTGTCGGCTTTGCAGTCGAAGTCTTCTGGGTGCTAGGCTGAGCTGTTGAAGTACTTCCAACTGTCGGCTTGGCAGTCGAAGGCTTCTGGGTGCTTGGCTGAGCTACAGTTGTGCTTCCAACAGTCGGCTTTGCAGTCGAAGGCTTCTGGGTGCTAGGCTGAGCTGTTGAGGTACTTCCGATAGTTGGCTTGGCAGTCGAAGGCTTCTGGGTGCTCGGCTGAGCTGTAGTTGTGCTTCCAACTGTTGGCTTTACAGTCGAAGGCTTCTGGGTGCTTGGCTGAGCTGTTGTTGTGCTTCCAACTGTTGGCTTGGCAGTCGAAGGCTTCTGGGTGCTAGGCTGAGCTGTTGAGGTACTTCCGATAGTTGGCTTGGCAGTCGAAGGCTTCTGGGTGCTCGGCTGAGCTGTTGTTGTGCTTCCAACTGTTGGCTTTACAGTCGAAGGCTTCTGGGTGCTTGGCTGAGCTGTTGTTGTGCTTCCAACTGTTGGCTTGGCAGTCGAAGGCTTCTGGGTGCTCGGCTGAGCTGTTGAGGTACTTCCAACTGTCGGCTTGGCAGTCGAAGGCTTCTGGGTGCTTGGCTGAGCTGTAGTTGTGCTTCCAACTGTCGGCTTGGCAGTCGAAGGCTTCTGGGTGCTAGGCTGAGCTGTTGAGGTACTTCCGATAGTTGGCTTGGCAGTCGAAGGCTTCTGGGTGCTAGGCTGAGCTGTTGAGGTACTTCCAACTGTCGGCTTTGCAGTCGAAGGCTTCTGGGTGCTCGGCTGAGCTGTTGAGGTACTTCCAACTGTCGGCTTGGCAGTCGAAGGCTTCTGGGTGCTAGGCTGAGCTGTTGAGGTACTTCCGATAGTTGGCTTGGCAGTCGAAGGCTTCTGGGTGCTAGGCTGAGCTGTTGAGGTACTTCCAACTGTCGGCTTTGCAGTCGAAGGCTTCTGGGTGCTCGGCTGAGCTGTTGAGGTACTTCCGATAGTTGGCTTGGCAGTCGAAGGCTTCTGGGTGCTAGGCTGAGCTGTTGAGGTACTTCCAACTGTCGGCTTTGCAGTCGAAGTCTTCTGGGTGCTAGGCTGAGCTGTTGAGGTACTTCCAACTGTCGGCTTGGCAGTCGAAGGCTTCTGGGTGCTAGGCTGAGCTGTTGAGGTACTTCCAACTGTCGGCTTGGCAGTCGAAGGCTTCTGGGTGCTAGGCTGAGCTGTTGAGGTACTTCCAACTGTCGGCTTGGCAGTCGAAGGCTTCTGGGTGCTAGGCTGAGCTGTTGATGTGCTTCCAACTGTTGGCTGGGCAGTCGAAGGCTTCTGGGTGCTAGGCTGAGCTGTTGGGGTACTTCCAACTGTCGGCTTGGCAGTCGAGGGCTTCTGGGTGCTTGGCTGAGCTGTAGTTGTGCTTCCAACTGTTGGCTTTACAGTCGAAGGCTTCTGGGTGCTTGGCTGAGCTGTAGTTGTGCTTCCGATAGTTGGCTTTGCAGTCGATGGCTTCTGGGTGCTAGGCTGAGCTGTTGAGGTACTTCCGATAGTTGGCTTGGCAGTCGAAGGCTTCTGGGTGCTAGGCTGAGCAGTTGAGGTACTTCCAACTGTCGGCTTGGCAGTCGAAGGCTTCTGGGTGCTAGGCTGAGCTGTTGAGGTACTTCCGATAGTTGGCTTGGCAGTCGAAGGCTTCTGGGTGCTCGGCTGAGCTGTAGTTGTGCTTCCAACTGTTGGCTTGGCAGTCGAAGGCTTCTGGGTGCTTGGCTGAGCTGTTGAGGTACTTCCAACTGTCGGCTTGGCAGTCGAAGGCTTCTGGGTGCTTGGCTGAGCTGTAGTTGTGCTTCCAACTGTCGGCTTGGCAGTCGAAGGCTTCTGGGTGCTAGGCTGAGCTGTTGAGGTACTTCCGATAGTTGGCTTGGCAGTCGAAGGCTTCTGGGTGCTCGGCTGAGCTACAGTTGTGCTTCCAACTGTTGGCTTGGCAGTCGAAGGCTTCTGGGTGCTAGGCTGAGCTGTTGAGGTACTTCCGATAGTTGGCTTGGCAGTCGAAGGCTTCTGGGTGCTTCGCTGAGCTGTAGTTGTGCTTCCAACTGTCGGCTTGGCAGTCGAAGGCTTCTGGGTGCTAGGCTGAGCTGTAGTTGTGCTTCCAACTGTTGGCTTGGCAGTCGAAGGCTTCTGGGTGCTAGGCTGAGCTGTTGAGGTACTTCCAACTGTCGGCTTTGCAGTCGAAGGCTTCTGGGTGCTCGGCTGAGCTGTTGAGGTACTTCCGATAGTTGGCTTGGCAGTCGAAGGCTTCTGGGTGCTTGGCTGAGCTGTTGAGGTACTTCCAACTGTCGGCTTGGCAGTCGAAGGCTTCTGGGTGCTAGGCTGAGCTGTTGAGGTACTTCCAACTGTCGGCTTGGCAGTCGAAGGCTTCTGGGTGCTAGGCTGAGCTGTTGAGGTACTTCCGATAGTTGGCTTGGCAGTCGAAGGCTTCTGGGTGCTTGGCTGAGCTGTTGAGGTACTTCCAACTGTCGGCTTGGCAGTCGAAGGCTTCTGGGTGCTAGGCTGAGCTGTTGAGGTACTTCCGATAGTTGGCTTGGCAGTCGAAGGCTTCTGGGTGCTTGGCTGAGCTGTAGTTGTGCTTCCAACTGTCGGCTTTGCAGTCGAAGGCTTCTGGGTGCTCGGCTGAGCTGTTGAGGTACTTCCGATAGTTGGCTTGGCAGTCGAAGGCTTCTGGGTGCTTGGCTGAGCTGTTGAGGTACTTCCAACTGTCGGCTTGGCAGTCGAAGGCTTCTGGGTGCTCGGCTGAGCTGTTGAGGTACTTCCGATAGTTGGCTTGGCAGTCGAAGGCTTCTGGGTGCTCGGCTGAGCTACAGTTGTGCTTCCAACTGTTGGCTTGGCAGTCGAAGGCTTCTGGGTGCTCGGCTGAGCTGTAGTTGTGCTTCCAACTGTTGGCTTGGCAGTCGAAGGCTTCTGGGTGCTAGGCTGAGCTGTTGAGGTACTTCCAACTGTCGGCTTTGCAGTCGAAGGCTTCTGGGTGCTCGGCTGAGCTGTTGAGGTACTTCCGATAGTTGGCTTGGCAGTCGAAGGCTTCTGGGTGCTCGGCTGAGCTACAGTTGTGCTTCCAACTGTTGGCTTGGCAGTCGAAGGCTTCTGGGTGCTAGGCTGAGCTGTTGAGGTACTTCCAACTGTCGGCTTGGCAGTCGAAGGTTTCTGGGTGCTAGACTGAGCTGTTGAGGTACTTCCAACTGTCGGCTTGGCAGTCGAAGGCTTCTGGGTGCTAGGCTGAGCTGTTGAGGAACTGCCGATAGTTGGCTTGGCAGTCGAAGGCTTCTGGGTGCTCGGCTGAGCTGTAGTTGTGCTTCCAACTGTTGGCTTGGCAGTCGAAGGCTTCTGGGTGCTCGGCTGAGCTGTAGTTGTGCTTCCAACTGTTGGCTTGGCAGTCGAAGGCTTCTGGGTGCTAGGCTGAGCTGTTGAGGTACTTCCAACTGTCGGCTTGGCAGTCGAAGGCTTCTGGGTGCTAGGCTGAGCAGTTGAGGTACTTCCAACTGTCGGCTTGGCAGTCGAAGGCTTCTGGGTGCTAGGCTGAGCTGTTGAGGTACTTCCGATAGTTGGCTTGGCAGTCGAAGGCTTCTGGGTGCTAGGCTGAGCTGTTGAGGTACTTCCAACTGTCGGCTTTGCAGTCGAAGGCTTCTGGGTGCTCGGCTGAGCTGTTGAGGTACTTCCGATAGTTGGCTTGGCAGTCGAAGGCTTCTGGGTGCTAGGCTGAGCTGTTGAGGTACTTCCAACTGTCGGCTTGGCAGTCGACGGCTTCTGGGTGCTCGGCTGAGCTGTAGTTGTGCTTCCAACTGTTGGCTTGGCAGTCGAAGGCTTCTGGGTGCTCGGCTGAGCTGTAGTTGTGCTTCCAACTGTTGGCTTGGCAGTCGAAGGCTTCTGGGTGCTAGGCTGAGCTGTTGAGGTACTTCCGATAGTTGGCTTGGCAGTCGAAGGCTTCTGGGTGCTAGGCTGAGCTGTTGAGGTACTTCCGATAGTTGGCTTGGCAGTCGAAGGCTTCTGGGTGCTAGGCTGAGCTGTTGAGGTACTTCCGATAGTTGGCTTGGCAGTCGAAGGCTTCTGGGTGCTCGGCTGAGCTGTTGAGGTACTTCCGATAGTTGGCTTGGCAGTCGAAGGCTTCTGGGTGCTAGGCTGAGCTGTTGAGGTACTTCCGATAGTTGGCTTGGCAGTCGAAGGCTTCTGGGTGCTCGGCTGAGCTGTAGTTGTGCTTCCAACTGTTGGCTTGGCAGTCGAAGGCTTCTGGGTGCTAGGCTGAGCTGTTGAGGTACTTCCGATAGTTGGCTTGGCAGTCGAGGGCTTCTGGGTGCTTGGCTGAGCTGTAGTTGTGCTTCCAACTGTTGGCTTGGCAGTCGAAGGCTTCTGGGTGCTTGGCTGAGCTGTAGTTGTGCTTCCAACTGTTGGCTTGGCAGTCGAAGGCTTCTGGGTGCTAGGCTGAGCTGTTGAGGTACTTCCGATAGTTGGCTTTACAGTCGAAGGCTTCTGGGTGCTTGGCTGAGCTGTAGTTGTGCTTCCAACTGTTGGCTTGGCAGTCGAAGGCTTCTGGGTGCTAGGCTGAGCTGTTGAGGTACTTCCGATAGTTGGCTTGGCAGTCGAAGGCTTCTGGGTGCTAGGCTGAGCTGTTGAGGTACTTCCAACTGTCGGCTTTGCAGTCGAAGGCTTCTGGGTGCTCGGCTGAGCTGTTGAGGTACTTCCAACTGTCGGCTTGGCAGTCGAAGGCTTCTGGGTGCTAGGCTGAGCTGTTGAGGTACTTCCGATAGTTGGCTTGGCAGTCGAAGGCTTCTGGGTGCTAGGCTGAGCTGTTGAGGTACTTCCAACTGTCGGCTTTGCAGTCGAAGGCTTCTGGGTGCTCGGCTGAGCTGTTGAGGTACTTCCGATAGTTGGCTTGGCAGTCGAAGGCTTCTGGGTGCTAGGCTGAGCTGTTGAGGTACTTCCAACTGTCGGCTTTGCAGTCGAAGTCTTCTGGGTGCTAGGCTGAGCTGTTGAGGTACTTCCAACTGTCGGCTTGGCAGTCGAAGGCTTCTGGGTGCTAGGCTGAACTGTTGAGGTACTTCCAACTGTCGGCTTGGCAGTCGAAGGCTTCTGGGTGCTAGGCTGAGCTGTAGTTGTGCTTCCAACTGTTGGCTTGGCAGTCGAAGGCTTCTGGGTGCTAGGCTGAGCTGTTGAGGTACTTCCGATAGTTGGCTTGGCAGTCGAAGGCTTCTGGGTGCTAGGCTGAACTGTTGAGGTACTTCCAACTGTCGGCTTGGCAGTCGAAGGCTTCTGGGTGCTAGGCTGAGCTGTAGTTGTGCTTCCAACTGTTGGCTTGGCAGTCGAAGGCTTCTGGGTGCTAGGCTGAGCTGTTGATGTGCTTCCAACTGTTGGCTTGGCAGTCGAGGGCTTCTGGGTGCTTGGCTGAGCTGTTGAGGTACTTCCGATAGTTGGCTGGGCAGTCGAAGGCTTCTGGGTGCTAGGCTGAGCTGTTGAGGTACTTCCAACTGTCGGCTTGGCAGTCGAGGGCTTCTGGGTGCTAGGCTGAGCTGTTGATGTGCTTCCAACTGTTGGCTTGGCAGTCGAAGGCTTCTGGGTGCTTGGCTGAGCTACAGTTGTGCTTCCAACAGTCGGCTTTGCAGTCGAAGGCTTCTGGGTGCTAGGCTGAGCTGTTGATGTGCTTCCAACTGTTGGCTTGGCAGTCGAAGGCTTCTGGGTGCTAGGCTGAGCAGTTGAGGTACTTCCAACTGTCGGCTTGGCAGTCGAAGGCTTCTGGGTGCTAGGCTGAGCAGTTGAGGTACTTCCAACTGTCGGCTTGGCAGTCGAAGGCTTCTGGGTGCTAGGCTGAGCTGTAGTTGTGCTTCCAACTGTTGGCTTGGCAGTCGAAGGCTTCTTGGTGCTTGGCTGAGCTGTAGTTGTGCTTCCGATAGTTGGCTTGGCAGTCGAAGGCTTCTGGGTGCTAGGCTGAGCTGTTGAGGTACTTCCAACTGTCGGCTTGGCAGTCGAAGGCTTCTGGGTGCTAGGCTGAGCTGTTGAGGTACTTCCAACTGTCGGCTTGGCAGTCGAAGGCTTCTGGCTGCTTGGCTGAGCTACAGTTGTGCTTCCAACAGTCGGCTTTGCAGTCGAAGGCTTCTGGGTGCTAGGCTGAGCTGTTGATGTGCTTCCAACTGTTGGCTTGGCAGTCGAAGGCTTCTGGGTGCTCGGCTGAGCTGTAGTTGTGCTTCCAACTGTTGGCTTGGCAGTCGAAGGCTTCTGGGTGCTAGGCTGAGCTGTTGAGGTACTTCCAACTGTCGGCTTGGCAGTCGAAGGCTTCTGGGTGCTAGGCTGAGCAGTTGAGGTACTTCCAACTGTCGGCTTGGCAGTCGAAGGCTTCTGGGTGCTAGGCTGAGCTGTTGAGGTACTTCCAACTGTCGGCTTGGCAGTCGACGGCTTCTGGGTGCTTGGCTGAGCTGTAGTTGTGCTTCCAACTGTTGGCTTGGCAGTCGAAGGCTTCTGGGTGCTAGGCTGAGCTGTTGAGGTACTTCCAACTGTCGGCTTGGCAGTCGAAGGCTTCTGGGTGCTAGGCTGAGCTGTTGAGGTACTTCCAACTGTCGGCTTGGCAGTCGACGGCTTCTGGGTGCTTGGCTGAGCTGTTGAGGTACTTCCAACTGTCGGCTTGGCAGTCGAAGGCTTCTGGCTGCTTGGCTGAGCTACAGTTGTGCTTCCAACAGTCGGCTTTGCAGTCGAAGGCTTCTGGGTGCTAGGCTGAGCTGTTGATGTGCTTCCAACTGTTGGCTTTGCAGTCGATGGCTTCTGGGTGCTAGGCTGAGCTGTTGAGGTACTTCCAACTGTCGGCTTGGCAGTCGAAGGCTTCTGGGTGCTAGGCTGAGCTGTTGAGGTACTTCCAACTGTCGGCTTGGCAGTCGACGGCTTCTGGGTGCTTGGCTGAGCTGTAGTTGTGCTTCCAACTGTTGGCTTGGCAGTCGAAGGCTTCTGGGTGCTAGGCTGAGCTGTTGAGGTACTTCCAACTGTCGGCTTGGCAGTCGAAGGCTTCTGGGTGCTAGGCTGAGCTGTTGAGGTACTTCCGATAGTTGGCTTGGCAGTCGAGGGCTTCTGGGTGCTAGGCTGAGCTGTTGAGGTGCTTCCGATAGTTGGCTTTGCAGTCGATGGCTTCTGGGTGCTAGGCTGAGCTGTTGAGGTACTTCCGATAGTTGGCTTGGCAGTCGAGGGCTTCTGGGTGCTAGGCTGAGCTGTAGTTGTGCTTCCAACTGTTGGCTTGGCAGTCGAAGGCTTCTGGGTGCTAGGCTGAGCTGTTGAGGTACTTCCGATAGTTGGCTTGGCAGTCGAAGGCTTCTGGGTGCTCGGCTGAGCTGTTGAGGTACTTCCGATAGTTGGCTTGGCAGTCGAAGGCTTCTGGGTACTCGGCTGAGCTGTTGAGGTACTTTCGATAGTTGGCTTGGCAGTCGAAGGCTTCTGGGTGCTAGGCTGAGCTGTTGAGGTACTTCCGATAGTTGGCTTGGCAGTCGAAGGCTTCTGGGTGCTAGGCTGAGCTGTTGAGGTACTTCCGATAGTTGGCTTGGCAGTCGAAGGCTTCTGGGTGCTCGGCTGAGCTGTTGAGGTACTTCCGATAGTTGGCTTGGCAGTCGAAGGCTTCTGGGTGCTAGGCTGAGCTGTTGAGGTACTTCCGATAGTTGGCTTGGCAGTCGAAGGCTTCTGGGTGCTCGGCTGAGCTGTTGAGGTACTTCCGATAGTTGGCTTGGCAGTCGAAGGCTTCTGGGTGCTTGGCTGAGCTGTAGTTGTGCTTCCAACTGTTGGCTTGGCAGTCGAAGGCTTCTGGGTGCTAGGCTGAGCTGTTGAGGTACTTCCGATAGTTGGCTTGGCAGTCGAAGGCTTCTGGGTGCTAGGCTGAGCTGTTGAGGTACTTCCAACTGTCGGCTTGGCAGTCGAAGGCTTCTGGGTGCTAGGCTGAGCTGTAGTTGTGCTTCCAACTGTTGGCTTGGCAGTCGAAGGCTTCTGGGTGCTAGGCTGAGCTGTTGAGGTACTTCCGATAGTTGGCTTGGCAGTCGAAGGCTTCTGGGTGCTAGGCTGAACTGTTGAGGTACTTCCGATAGTTGGCTTGGCAGTCGAAGGCTTCTGGGTGCTAGGCTGAACTGTTGAGGTACTTCCAACTGTCGGCTTGGCAGTCGAAGGCTTCTGGGTGCTTGGCTGAGCTACAGTTGTGCTTCCAACTGTTGGCTTGGCAGTCGAAGGCTTCTGGGTGCTAGGCTGAGCTGTTGAGGTACTTCCAACTGTCGGCTTGGCAGTCGAAGGCTTCTGGGTGCTTGGCTGAGCTACAGTTGTGCTTCCAACAGTCGGCTTTGCAGTCGAAGGCTTCTGGGTGCTCGGCTGAGCTGTTGAGGTACTTCCGATAGTTGGCTTGGCAGTCGAAGGCTTCTGGGTGCTAGGCTGAGCTGTTGAGGTACTTCCAACTGTCGGCTTGGCAGTCGAGGGCTTCTGGGTGCTAGGCTGAGCTGTTGATGTGCTTCCAACTGTCGGCTTGGCAGTCGAAGGCTTCTGGGTGCTAGGCTGAGCTGTAGTTGTGCTTCCAACTGTTGGCTTGGCAGTCGAAGGCTTCTGGGTGCTAGGCTGAGCTGTTGAGGTACTTCCGATAGTTGGCTTGGCAGTCGAAGGCTTCTGGGTGCTAGGCTGAACTGTTGAGGTACTTCCAACTGTCGGCTTGGCAGTCGAAGGCTTCTGGGTGCTAGGCTGAGCTGTAGTTGTGCTTCCAACTGTTGGCTTGGCAGTCGAAGGCTTCTGGGTGCTAGGCTGAGCTGTTGAGGTACTTCCGATAGTTGGCTTGGCAGTCGAAGGCTTCTGGGTGCTAGGCTGAACTGTTGAGGTACTTCCAACTGTCGGCTTGGCAGTCGAAGGCTTCTGGGTGCTAGGCTGAGCTGTAGTTGTGCTTCCAACTGTTGGCTTGGCAGTCGAAGGCTTCTGGGTGCTAGGCTGAGCTGTTGAGGTACTTCCAACTGTCGGCTTGGCAGTCGAGGGCTTCTGGGTGCTAGGCTGAGCTGTTGAGGTACTTCCGATAGTTGGCTTGGCAGTCGACGGCTTCTGGGTAGTTGGCTGAGCTGTAGTTGTGCTTCCAACTGTTGGCTTGGCAGTCGAAGGCTTCTGGGTGCTTGGCTGAGCTGTTGAGGTACTTCCGATAGTTGGCTTGGCAGTCGAAGGCTTCTGGGTGCTTGGCTGAGCTGCAGTTGTGCTTCCGATAGTTGGTATGGCAGTCGAAGGCTTCTGGGTGCCCGGCTGAGCTGTTGAGGTACTTCCAACTGTTGGCTTTGCAGTCGAAGGCTTCTGGGTGCTTGGCTGAGCTGCAGTTGTGCTTCCAACTGTTGGCTTTGCAGTCGAAGTCTTCTGGGTGCCCGGCTGAGCTGTTGATGTGCTTCCGATAGTTGGCTTGGCAGTCGAAGGCTTCTGGGTGCTTATGCTGGTTGTTTTAGCAGTTGTTTCAGCGGTTTCTTCTGTTAAGGTGCTGAGAGTGGTTTGATAGGTCGGTTTGGCTGTGGTGGCTTTTGAAGAATAGTAATCGGGACTAGTAACGTGATGTTCACAATTTGGCGTGGTGGGATGGTATTTGCATTTCGTTGGCGGTGGCCTTAAAGTAGTGTAGGTCGTCTTGTTGTTGCATGGATTGCGAAAATGCAATATGATCTCATTCGCTTTGTACCCGGGAGCAATGCGTATATGTGGCCCAAACAAAGTGAACGCTGCGCCAGTGGCGACTAGTAAGCAAAGTATAAGGAGTCTCATTGTAACAGAAGTGCACGCCCGTTTTCTCCTTTAAGTAGATCCTGTTGGGTCGAACAGCGAGCGAACAGCTTGATGCCGACCTGGATACTAACTGAAGCGGGCCCTAGTGCATAGTATTTAAATTATCTATAAATTTGCCCTACATATTTACAGGTATGACATTTTAGTGTCTAAATTTATATTCTCTATAAAATTAATTCGTATTACGGATGCATATGCAATTTTGAAGCACGCGCTTGAACTATGGTCTGGCTTGCGTAATACGCAATTTATCGTATGCGCAGGTCAGTGACGAGCTTTCGCTATTCTGACTATTAAAGGGCTAGCACGTAGCCAGGTTAGCCCGCGTGAATTAACTGTGGCCGGCACGAACCCAACCACTTGTTCTCAAACGCTCCGAGAATGTGCACATTGCTATGCCTTTCCGTGATTTTCTGTGCCATAAGCCAATTAAAAACGCGAAATTAGGGTATAGTCGGTTCCACTAACGTACTTGTAACAGATGGAATATGTATATATATATTCTTGACCAGAAATAATAGCTAAGTCGATTTAGCCCAGTCTATACATCTCTCTGTAGGTATACAGCTCTGAACCTATAGGAGAAGGATATTTGAGGATGCATAATCTTCTATAGTCGCCACAGATCAAGTTTTTTTTCAACTGTCCCAGTTTTTAAACGTCGATTTATGCGATCTTAAAGATATTATGTATATTAATTTAAAGCGCTTCACAGATTTTTAATATTTCCAGTACAAATTTGGCAAAAATCAAATAATGTGTTACGATCTTTTCATTTCTTTAATACCCATAACATTTCATATAATGATCATAATCGACTATGATAATGATTGATTTTTTAGAATTTTAATAAAACGTTTTAATAAAAGATATATAAATAATTAGAGACAGCTGCTTTGGATAATACATACATTGTATATCATTACATACTAGGGTATCTCCTAGTTGGGTACTCCCGACTACAACAATATGACATTAATGATGATATTTTACCATTAAATTAGCTCAGAAAGAATTTTTATAGAGGTTCTACATGTTCTCGTAGCCTCGCGAGTAGATTGTTATTATAAAAATACAATATTTCGTTTTTGATTTAATACATTTCGTCTATCTCAATATACTACGGCATATGGAGAATTTCAAAAATTCGTAGCACTTCATCTCTAAGCTAGATCTTCAAGAGTGACGGAATGCTAGGCATCGATAGATATAGAAATAAATAGAGATAGAGAGAGCAGAGCGCATAAAAGAGAACATGATAGATATTGTGGAAACCCAATATACTATTTTCTTTTTGTGAAGGTATATAAAACTATGTAAAGACTTTTATTTCAGCTTTTCAATTTGGAGTGTGCTATAGTTTAGTATTTTTTTATACTAACCTACATTATATAACTAGACATCCAAAAAGTATGCAATATTTTTGGCGTTGTATTAGGTACAAATGTGCAGCATACTTAGTTTTCAGTATATTTACATGAATTTATTTGATATTTTTATTTGTTATATGAGATTAGTTTAACATATATTACAAAACATTATTATTTAGAATATTTGAGAAAAAAAAAACCTAATTAAATATTATCTTTTAAAAAGATCCTATGGCTGACACCTTTTGAATCTTCTCTTCCTCGGCTCGTACCTTAAACCTCTGGCTGAGTCATTGGACGGACCACCAAGGCGATGAAAATGCCTCGCAGCTTGTGGATGGTAACATCGCCCACCCTAGAAACCAACGGATGCTTTTCGCCTGGTATACCTTGGAAATTCGACTTAAGATCTGTGAGTGGACAACTTTTAATATATTTAAACAAATTTGTTATATGCCTTATAAAACTTGAAGAATCTAGCTCTTAAGCTGCAGCGTATAAACTTTTTGCAAACGAGAGTAATCGCCTTACTTATAGGGTATATGTTCGAAAGCGAGGTATTCGGGAAAGCATCTAAACGTACCTTTTGTGGCTATTTGTGAAAGGCTGAAAGGCTGAAAACAAATAAATAAAAGAGTGAGATATTTTGAAATAATATATGTATATATTTTTACGTTTCGTAGCAGATAACAGATATACAACATATCTAGAGGCTGGTTCGACTGGACCGCGCTTATTTCATTGTTTATTAATATAATATATTGGCATACACATATAACATACATATAAATATATGTATATAAATACTTTAACACTTAATTAAAGAAATACGACTAATCGAGAGTATCTACTTACAGAAGTACACAAGCAACAACAGAGACTAATGCCTAAACACACACACACACAACTATATATGGAATACGTTTTGTGCGTTACGTCCGAGCGCGGTAATATTTACATTCATTAGAATAAATGGTATATATGGTTCTGTAGGCCACTAGTTTGAGTTTGAGTTTGAGTTTGAACAGGCGACAAATCGTTCGTTTTCAATAAGGCGCTAATGCACGGCAATGATGGCTGAAAGCCCTGAGGCCTGCCCTGCTGGCTCACACCTCCTCGTCACTGGCCTGCGAGCAGAGGACCTGCTCCTGCCACCAGTCGTGCACCTCATAGACGGCGTTCGCCTGATTGTTGAACGGCAGCAGCTTCCCGCTGCCCCCAATCAGCTGGCTAATCATTGCCGAGGGACTACTGAGCGGTCCATGATGATGCTGATGCTGGTGATCCGCGTAGCTGTGCAGCGCCGCCGCTGCGGCCGCCGACGCATTTATTGCCGGATAGTGAAACTGCCCGATCTCGCTGTTCAGCTGAGAGAAGAAACTGGAGGCTTTGTTGCCGTCGCGCTGCTTGCCCAACTGGCCCAGCTGGCCGGTGTGGGGCAAGGTGGTCATCGAGTTCTTTTTGCGCTGCTGGCTGCTGATGTGCAGTCGCTCCTTGTCGCTCAGCGTGGAGCGCTGCTGGGGATCGCTCGAGGTGGGCGCCAAGAACTTGCGTCCCGCCGAGCTGCCCGTCGAATCGCTGCGATTGAGCGCATACGCCCGCTTCCCAACGGCCATCACATAGCGGGTGTTCGAGACGTGCGGATCAGCATGAGGCGGCACCACGGCGCTACTGCTGGCATCCTTCTCATCATTCTCCGTGGAGCTCAGTGTGGGCGAGAAGGCGTCGCTGGTGGGCGGACAGGTGCCAGCCACCGCACCGCTGATGGTGCTGATCGCTGACTTGTCTATGATGCCACCAGGCGCCTTGTCCTCCAGCACATTGGCGCGCATCACTATCTGCTCATTGGTGGCCCGTAATCCGGCGATAAGTGAGTTTTGCTGTTTCTGTGGATCGGATGATATTATAACAGTAAGTCATCAAATTTATCCAATTGCGATTGTTATAGATGCTTACGCTAGCATTTTGCGCTCGAATCTTCTTGAGACAACCTTCGAGCCAGGTACGTATTGTCATCTTGGCCACCTCCTCCTCGACCAGGTACTCGAATTCCTCGCGTGCCAGCAGCTCCTCCAGCTGCAGCGCCTTTCGTATGTCAACGGAGCGATAGGACAACATGCTGAGACGACCAAAAATTTAGTTAATACCAATACTTAAGTCCCGATCGACTGTCTCTGGACCTACTTAATGACATCGTGAAAGGTTACATCCTCGCCATTGTGCAGCTTGTCCAGCTCGTAGCACATGTACTTGAACAGCAAGCGATCCTTTTGGGGATCACACTCGAGCCGGCCCTTCAATAGCCTCAAAATGAACTTGACCCGGCGAACCGGTATGACGCCCCGCTGGTGTATATCCACAATATTCCAAGTGTTCTGGAAATTGCGTATGTCTGCATACGAGAGCAACGCATCCTCCTCGTTCGAGTAGAACAGCGAAAAGTTCTCCATGATAATAGCTGTGAGAGAAATTTCGTGAGTAACTTTCGAATACCATAAATACGCTTAGTACCCACCCACAAGCAGATTGAGCACAATGTACGTGATTATGACGTAGAATGTGCAAAAGTAAATCAAACTAGCCGTAAAATTGCCGCAATCCGTTTCCCAGTAGTTTTCGCCTCGCGTGCAGTACGGCGGTTGTACCATGCAGTCGTGCATGATCTTATTCCAGTCCTCGCCTGTGACAATGCGAAACAGCATCGCAACACCTGTCACAGGTGATCCGAAGTTGGCGCGTCGCCCAATGCCTTCGCCATATTTAACGGTGCCTGAAACAGTCAATTCAAAAGTCAAAGTAGATATTCATAAAAATATTTGTGAAAGGGATGACGACTTACCAAACAGAATGGTGCCGGCTAATGCATAGAAGAAGACCAGCAGAAACATTCCAAATATGATGAAGAATGACTTGCAGACGGACACGCCGACCGTTAGCATCAGCATCTTCAGAGTGGTATGCTTTCCAGTGATGGTAAAGAACCGCAGGATAACTACCATAAATCCAAAGAAGTACGACAAATCGTTCTGCAAAAGCCAATATCAGAGAGAAATAAAAAAAATGTACATACATACATACATATGTTGATCAAATATGTATTTACTAATTATAATATATAATATAGAAAATATAATTAAATATTGAGAAAAGACCTAAGCCCCTTTTCTCTATATATAGGGTATCCTTTATATAAATAATATGTACATAAATACATATAATAATATTTATAAAATATAATAGATAATGAAGTAAGGCATAAGCCTCTACAGAAAGGGTATCCTTAACTTTTGTAGCCGCTATGACAATCTAATGACCAAATTTGAAGTAAGAAAACTCTAGTCGGGCATATCCATCTGAGATATACCTCGAAGTAAGTATATATAAGTAAAAGCGACTTTATAATAATCATAATGAATATTTGGAGAGTCGAGCTCCACAGAAACCAAAATTACAACTGAATTGAACTGAATTTTTATAATCATTAAACGATAACATTACAACGGAAGTAGATATGGGTCTAGAAAATAAGTATTTAAAGAGTTCAAGCATCCAGCTCTTATAGGCTCTCAGATCAACGACAGAAAGACAGACATCATTAGATCGAATCAGCTCGTTTTCCTGATAAAAAATATAATTACTTTGGGGCTTGCTACGCTTCCTTTTGCCAGTTACATATATTGATTTTTCATTTTCGATAGACTCAGAGCATTAAAACCTGCATATCCTCAGATAACTAATGATCGACTTTTAATGATTTCATGGAAGCAGAAAACTGGAAGAATTATAGAGAAACAGACAGACAGAGCTAGGGCTAATCTTCTAATGGCTCGAAACAAGTTTTCTTTAGCCTCTTTCAATCGGAATTCAACTCGATTCAAATGATCAGCCTTACCCTGAGTATAGTTTGCAGTATTATCCAGATGACGCCCGCGACGGTTACCAGCAAATCGTATCGATTGCGCCTGGATTGCCAGTAGCCACGGGGTGTGAATGCAATGTTCTTCATGACCACCTCGATGACGAAGACAAAGGTGAGGACGGCGCTCACAATCACGAGACGTTCCGTGTGCACTTCGCCCTTGATCCACTGCAAATGGGGTGGGAAGTGGGGGAGTTGAGATGCTTCAAATGCATATCAATAAGCAATTTCATTTACCGTTATGGACAGCAACATGCTGTTTATGAGCACCACCACAGCAATGACCCGCTTGAAGATGATGTGCTGCGTAATATCGTAAGTAAAGGCACGAATCTTGCGTCCATCCGGACGTGGAGGCAAGTGCAGGGGCTGAGCGATTTTGAGACGTTTCTTGAGGTCGCACCATCGCCGCTGATCCACGGTGAGCAGGGCTGTGCCCTTGTTCTCCGAATAGTTGGCAATGACCACGCCCACGAACAGCGTCAGTCCGATCATGCAGCCCAAGAAGATGTAGATGTGAATATAAATGGCATGGATCTGAAAATTGGATATGTTTAATACTACAAATAGAAGAAGGCAACTACTAGCATGGAGGTGACTTTACCGGTCCAACAGCTTTGATGAGTACATCGCGCACATCTAGCCAGCCCTTGAACGACAGCACCTCGAAGAGGGTGAGCATAGCATCGCCAATATTGTCAAAGTTGAAGCGACGCGGATTGGCCCAGACGCGCGGCACCAACATCGCCGGATAGGACTCGTCTGGACCCGGAGTCAGCTTCATTTTCGTAACAAAGACGCGTCGCATAAAGACACCGACACAGTTCTCACGGCGCAGTATTGTCGGATCGTTGCAGCGGGCCAAGCGTCCGCCGTACAGCTGTACGCCGTAGCTGGCAAAGATGAACATGAGCAGGATCAGCAGCGTGGATACCAATAGGATTTCCTTAAAGCCTCGGCACAGCTCATACACCACCTTACGCATGTGCGGAACAAGCGTAAAGATTCTCAACGGACGGACACAGCGCAGTATCATCAGCAGCTGGGCCGCCGAATTGGTGGGAATATTGTGCGGCATCCAGCACAGAAACGACGTGGAGACAACATAGATGAACACGTCCAGCGCTGCAGCGACGTCCTTGATATACGCCTTGGGCGTGAAGAACAAGCCATCGGCCAGTATCTTCATGGCCAGCTCCAGGCTCATGAAGATGACGAAGCCATATTCAGCGATCTGCAGCGTGGGATGATCCATCAGGCGGTAGCTGGGCGTCTCGAACATCATCGAGATGCACGAGAGCGTGGTGGCGAATATCATCACCCAGTCCAGATAGGTGACCAGACCTAGGAAGTTACTAATAGATGGATGGGCATGCGAATAATGCAAATGTGAATTAGGCACGTCCAGCTTGAGGCAACCTGAGGCGCTACTTACTGCAAGCTCTTGTACTGCACCTTGCGCTCCTTGCCGGTTAGGGGATCCTTCAGGCGCGCATCGTAGCGCGCGTGCACGATCTTCTGGCAGATCTTGCGGAAGCGACTCTCGCGCGGCACCAGAAACAGCGGCGTGTCGAAGAACGGATGGTTTTCCCGTAGATCTTCCTCGCGCTGATTGCGTCGCATTTCTGCCTGTTGGCGCTTCGCCTGCAGCAGCTTGATGTCCAGATCGTGAGGCCGGGCCCGGCCCGAGTTGGCACGTGGTGCGGCCGCAATGTCACCGTTCTCCATCAGATGCTCGTAGGTCTGCTTCAGCTTGATCGAACCGGAACGGACGCTGCGACGTATCGAACGGGAGCCGAATCTGCGAATTGGTAGCGTACACACATCAAACGAATCATGCCGCCCACGGGCAAAGTTCACTTACTTTTTCTGATCGACGCGCCAGGGCTTCGAGTGCGTGATCGTCCCCTGGGACTTGAGGCCACCTTTGGTGCCCACCACGGGCAGCATCGCTGAGTCGCCCAGCATCAGGCGTTGATTGTTGCTATCGCTATGGGCACGGAAAATTATCAAACAATCTTATCAATAACTCACTATAGTATTATATTCCCGTTACTCACTTAATAATGTGTGTGATTGCCAACTTTCGGAGGCTACTGCCAGCGGCTCTCACCTTGGCCGTCTTGTTCATGATGCGCACCGGCTTCTGCTTGCGGAATACCACATTGGACTCCCAGCACTCGGACATGGGACGCTTACAGTTCTCGACAAGCGACGGATCGTCCGTCTCCAGTTCGATTACAAAATGTTTCATGAAACTCTCACGTACCTTGGGTAGTATAAAGTCATTGGGAATACGGTGCAGAATGGTCATTTGTGGTGAGTCTGGGAATTTCTCAAAGATTCGTAGGCGAAATGGTAGAGTTTCTTTGATTTCGGCGCTTTGCTCGCGAAACTTGAGCTGCTTCAGCTTTTTTATGTCCTCGTCCAGCTCCAAATTATCCAAAATGACCGCCACGAAAAGACTGAGCACGATGAGCGTTACGAAAAGATGGTAGAGTATGAAGTAGACGGCGACAAGCGGTGTCAGCGTCTTGCTGGTGCGTATCATGGTCTCATCCATGACCTCCACCCAGGCCTCCTGTGTCAGAATCTGGAACATGCTCATGAAGGCCTCCGGGAACGACTCGAACTTGGTGAAATCGCAGAGGAAACAAAACAGTTGCATTGAAATGCTGGAGCTGATGATCAGCAAGCACATGGTGAAGATGATCAGGGAGCCGAGCTTCTTGCCGGGCCCAAAGATCTTGTAGACAAAGCCCTCGAGCATGGGGGAGGCCTTAATCAGCCGCACGACCCGGAGCACTTGAAAGTACGTCAATCCAGACAGATAAAAGATGGGCACGATGTGCAGCGTGGTGCCAGCGGCCAGCAGGAGCTCGAACTTGTGTATTGAATGCTTGTAGTAGCCGCGCCAGCCCAGGCAGTAGATCTTAAACAGTGTCTCGAGATCGAGCAGGCAGGTGAATATCACCTCGATGTAGTAATATCTCTCGTAAAAGACGTGACGAGGCCGGCCATCGTGCTTGAACGCCATCGTGGCCGTCACAATGCCATTGGCCAGGATGACCGTCATGACCAGCATCCGGAAGTAGGGCGAGCGGAGGATGGCATGGCATGTCTCCGGTGCCAAGCCGCCGTGCTTGTTATCATCGATCGTGACCAATCGCCAGCCGGAGTCGTTGCCGCTGAGTATCTGGGAGGCGGCCGTCTTTTGGATATGCCCCCTGGCTCCCCACATCTGTTGAAACTGGACGCGTATCTCGTTGAAGGTCTCCGTGATGACAGCAATGAAGACGTTCTTCACCAGCCAAGCTAGGAAAAATATCATGGTGCTGAAGTAGAATGCGGCACGCCAGGCCGGCAGTGAGTCTATGGCCCGGTACATGATGAACACCCATCCCTCCTGCGATGCGGCCTGATAGACCGTAAAAATACTCGTGGCAATGTCCTCGAAGCCATTGAAGCCAATGACATAGCTACTGAGGAAGTCCATCTTCATGCAACGCATTCCAGGTGAACACTGATAACCGGAGTCTGGGTCCATGGAGCAGAAGGTGTCCGGTATAGCCAGCGAATTGATCGTGAGTATCCTAATGAGAGACATACGAATGCTTAGAAGAGAGCTCATTCATTGCTATACTTGGCATACTTACGGCCTGCCCAGCAGATCATAGTTCGTATTATTCATGACGCAGTGATTCTTCAGCTCCCCGAAGAACTGTACGCCGAGCAGTCCGTATAGCGACATAAAGAATAAGAAGAAGAGCGTCACATTGTAGATTTGCTGACTCGAGCGTCTGGAAAAGAGGAGGCTCTAGCTGTCATCGACTGATTTCGAAAGGAGATGGCTCTTCACTTACTTGAAAATTTGATTGATGCGACTCTTGGGCATGCTGAACTTGAGGAACACTCGCAGGAATCGTATCATAATCAGCGGACGTGGAGCACGCATAATAGATAGATACGAGAATCTGAAGAAGAAGAAGACAAAAAGATTGAAAGTTTTTATGCAGTGGAATCGCATTGATGTTGACTTACTTTGGCACAATCTCAAGCACTTCGAATATCTGGAGTATGATGGAGACCCAGAGAAAGCTCACCATGGACGCATCGAACTGGCACCAGTGATCCTTCAAGTAAGGCACCTCACCCTGGCAAATAAATGGAAAACGGAATATGTTAGCTCAAAGTCGAAACTGAATGAACATTGCGTCATCTCATCATCCTAGTTAACTTACGTTCAGTACTCCACGAATGTGCATCTTGGCAATCATTTCGGCCGTGAAGAGCACCGTCACGGCCGTATCGGACACAAAGGTGATGTACTGCAACGAGGGATGACGCTCGAAGGTCTTGGGCGTATTCAGCGAGACGGAGGCGAGTGAGACCAATGCACAGAGACGCATGAGCCGGCGCACCCACAGCTTGTTGACCCACTCGATGTCCGCGCTCTCATTCAGCGACTCCTCCGGGCCGTAGTCGGCCAGAAAGGGTTCGCCGCCCTTGAGGCTCTGCTTCCTGCCGAGCATAATCTTATTGCCGATGCCAGTGGCGATGCCCAATCCGATCGGTGGCACGCCCGTAATGGCGGCGCTGCCCACAGTGCTGCTGATGCCACCGCAGATGCCCATGCCCGCCGCGGCGGCTCCACCGCCCAGGCCGCCAATGCCGCCCAGCAGATTGAGGCCGCCGCCAACGCCGCCCACGGGACACACTGAGGCACCGGCTCCATTGTTGTGGGCATTGCTCGTGGATTGGCCACCGATGGCCGTTGACGCTCCCGCGCCTGCAGCCGTTGACAAGCCGCCAGGCTGCTGCTGCATCCCACCGTAGGCAGTGCTGCTGCCGCTGCCCGAGTTCACAATCGTGGTCGGACTGTTGAGCACGCTGGATGCATCTTGGCGTGTGCCCAATCCGTTGCAAGGACTGCTACCCGGCGATGGATTAAAGTTCAAATGGCTGATTTGCTGCTGCGAGCTACGCAGATGCGAGTGCGGATGCTGATGCTGATGCTGGTGCGGATGCTGTTGGTGCTGCTGCTGTTGCTGCTGCTGCTGCTGCTGTTGCTGCTGCTGCTGCTGCTGTTGCTGCTGCTGCTGCTGCTGTTGCTGCTGCTGCTGTTGATGGGAATGCGGATGCTGTTGGTGTTGCTGCGGTGTCAGGCTGTTTCCGCTGGAGGAACTGGTGCTGGCTGTCGCTGGCGTTGTGATGCCGCTGGCGGAGTGAAAGCTGCCGCTGCCTCCCGTCCGTTTATTACGAGCAGCTGCACCCAAGCGACGAATTTGTAAGCGGTCAATCATTCAAGCAGCGCATCTTGCTCCCGCCTGGGCCGTGAGTTATGTGAATATCCGTACCGCCAAGACAAAGGCGCAAATGCCTTCAACTTGTCAGCGTTTCTAAGTGTGCGTGCGTGCGCGCGTGTGTGTGTGTGTGTGTGTGTGGGAATAGACGTCAATTAGTCACAATTTCTACTACTGTCAATAGATAGATAGATATATGTATGTATGTATGTATGTATGTATGCACTCTGTGCCCCAAAGGCTGAAGCGCTTTCAACCCCCATAAGCAAGACAAGAGAGAGTCCTGCCTGCACACACACACACACACACACATACGTATACACATTCACTAGTCTTGTTTACTACACACACACACACACACACACATACGTATGTATGTGTATGCACATATCGTACTTACATTTTCTTATCAGGTCTTTGCTTACATACTTTTGTTTTCAATCGGAATTTGCGCTTTTTTATCATTTGCCTCCATCTCAGAGGCGCGCAAAGTCAAACTGTTTTACTGTTTTACCAGAACCGTCTCCTTTTCTGACCGCTCTTCAACTAAACAAAAAGTAAAAGTAAATTATGAAAACGTAACGGCAAACTGCAATTGGAGAGCAACGAATGGGCGCTGGGAGCCAACGGTTATTCCAGGGACGTACACAGATGCAGACTGCTACGGCGGACTGCCTAACAGTTGACAACCTGCCAAATACAGGGTGTACGCTCTGGGTGTCCGGCGCCTGCGCACTGGCCGTGCCAAGAAACGGGTCGATGATGGCCACACAGTAGTCATCAGACTTGTGGAGAGTAGTGTCACGTTTGGTGGGATAAACGGCGTGCGATTAAGTGCTTCAACTGAACATGGGCGGAACATCGTCGTCGCGTAATAAATCACAATCCGTGAGCTATCCGGAGCACGATGATCCGGCGTATCGCAAGTGCCAGGAGCTGAAGGCAAGTGCAATTATCTAATCTTGTGGTTTCTGCCAGTCTAACGAAACCCCATGCAGATGGAGCGCTGGATTCAGATGCACTACCAGATCAAGCAGCGGGAACAGGCCCTGGCCATTGCCCAGCATCGGGAGCTCTTCTACTGGCTGAGTGGATTCTACATCAGCGCCGTCTGCGGCTGTGCCAACTATTACCAGAGGGTCAAGCGCGCCTCGGTGCTGGCACCGTTGCTGCCGCTTACCTTCGTCATGGGCTACTATGCGGACTGGGCGTACGGGAGTAAGCTGCACCGTATTCAGGGTACATCACCATCAAATCTCTCTCTCTCTCTCTCGCTCGCTCTATCATCGTCAATAATCACTCCATTTTACAGCCGAGGCGAATATAATCATGGAGCACGAGCAGGAGCTGCTGCACTGGCCGGGCGGACTACCGACGGTCGCCAGCATCGATGAGGCCCGGGTCGAGGTGCACATGGAAAAGAAAATGCATCCGCATCACATGTAGACAGACCAGTGCCCGTACCCAATTTCCTCATCCAAGTGGCTCACGTGGTTCATCTATTTTTCCGACTCTTTTGCTCAAAGTTATTATTACTCAATCGTACGTCACTTATGCATCGGTAGTGCACTGTACATCTATACATATGTATGTGTATGTCTGTAGGCACTACATGTGTACATCAGCTGTTGAAATACTCTTTTAAGCTCTTAAACTCTTTTCCTTCCCTATACTCTATATACATATATATATATATATATATATTTATATAGCTATATATAAAGGGTGCATATGTCTGTACATATTGGGACTCCTGCAGAGCTCGGCAAAGAAAATACATACATGCGGTGCTCTTCGATGCCCATGCGGAGATCCGCATGGCGGGAGAAACAGAGCTGATGTATGTACCTATGAATGTATGTATGACATGTGAATATGTTTACTGCACAGACACTCTTGGACACCGTGTCTAGCAGGAGAAAGATTCATATTCATATGTATGTACGACATGTGAATGCACAAATATGTACATACATACGTACATACTCAGCTGGTATTCGCAGACACCTCCTATGCAGGACATTGCCAGTTAATATGGTGCATGGCATGTACACACATATACATACCTTTATACAATTGAATCCGGCTAGAACGACTCCGCGCTTATGGCATACGTCCAATGAAAATTCTGCTCCCTAGACAAACTTATATGAGTAAATATAGATGGCTATAGCGCCTTCCGTACATAAAGACGGTCGCCAGAGCATCGCTACAGCCGGATTCTACCGTATATGAGCGTTACTTTTAAGCATATTTATTCATTTACATATATTCTAAACAAAACAAAAAAGAAAGGAAACGAAACAAATTCACACATTCACATCATGATGTACGTCGATTCTCTTACAAGTTACCATCGGACTTACGTATATACATACTTCCTTATAAACAAGCATACAGATATTAATGGAGGAATGAATGTTTTTAAAGACAATACTTCTTATATTATACGTTTAGGTAATTATTGTAACACTAATGTATAACAAGCTAGCAATTGTAGCCTAGAGAGCATCTAATAAAGTATCTGTGTGAGTGTGTGTGTCTGTCTGTTAGCGTGTGTGTGTGTGAGTGTGTGTGTGTGTGTTTATAGTAACAGTACCAAACCAAGAACCCGATTTCATATTCAATCCAATCAGTAGTGTATATGTCCATCCTCGAGCAGACCGTCCTCGATCAGGGTCCGGTTGTCCTTCTTGTAGTGCGTGTCGCAGAACTCGGCGATGCGCACGCAAGCCTCCTCGAGCATCGCGGCTGGGACTGTGAGGACGATGCGTATGTAGCCCGGATAGGAGAAGCAGCTGCCGGGCAGACAGAAGACGCTCTGCTCGTTGACCAGCTCCTGCACGAAGTGCGTGTCGTCCTTGAAGGCCAGAAAGCGCTCAATGCAGACGCCAATCATCATATACATGGCGCCGTTCGGCATCACGGGATTAAGTCCGGGCACCGTCTTCAGCATCTTGTACGCCAGCTGGGCATTGGTCTATGTTGAGTATGAATATTATTATTGGGAATTAGAGTTTGCTCGCTCAAGTACTCGAATGTTCACTCACGTGAAGCACCTCGATGACGCTATCAAAGTAGGACTGCGGCGTCTTGGTTAGTATATCGGGTAGTGCACCCTGGATGATCGTGTTCGTGCCGAGAATGCGGCCGCACATGTTCTTGAGGCCGTTGAGTGCGGTGCCCAGACGCTTGTGATGATCATGCACAATGATCCAGCCCATGCGCCAGCCGGGCACCAGGAAGCGCTTAGTGAGACCGCCGCACGAGAGCACCGGCACCTCGCGGGTGAGGCTGCTAACCGCCACGTGACGCGAGCCCGGAAACACAAAGTGCTCATAGATCTGATCAAAGACAAAAAAAAAAAGCAAATGGTAAAGGGATCGTCGAGCGATTCAATGCGCACTAACCTCATCGGCGATGATGGGCAGATAGTGGCGTTCGCAAATGGCAATCAGCTCCAGCAGGTGTTCCTCATCGTAGACGCTGCCGCAGGGATTGCTCGGATTGTTGATCAGCAGCGCGGCTGTATTCGCATCGATCAGACTCTCCAGCTGCCGGAGATCGGCACGCCACTGTTTCTCCGGCAACAGTTCGTAGTAGCGCACCTCGATGTCCAGGCCCTCGGCCAGGGTGTGGTAGAGGCAGAAGCCCGGCCGCGGCACCAGTATGTTCTGGCCGCGCTCGGCCAGCGCCAGTATGCAGTACTCCAGGGCCGACGAGCAGCCGCTGCAGAGCAGCACGTCGCTTGGATCGATTGTGCCGCCAGGACGCTGATGTGCACTGTACTTGGCCACCGCCTGGCGCGACGCCTCATGGCCCTGGGTGTGGGCATAGCCATTGAACTTGCCGCTCTCCAGCGAGCGGAGCACAGCCTTCATGGTCTCATCGGCCGCCTTCAGGTTGCCGAACGTCGTGGGATCACCTACGAAATGAGATGAACTATGTAGTACTCTACTCTGTCTTCAACTCGCAGAAGAGCTCTGGGAGAAATGCGAAATGAACTGAGGCCAGCCCTAGCAGTGTGTGCATACACTCTGGATCCTAACTGATTTTCTCCGACCCGGCCTAAAACTCGTTTCGCGTATTTTTGCATGTTTCCGCCTTGTCATTGCGTCCCATGTGGGACAACAATATTCCACCTTCTAAGCAAATTCGATTCTTGATCTTGCTCCAAACAGGTGAAACTACATTTTATGCAAATGCATCGAAAACGCGCGCGCGCGAGCGACGCCATGAAAAATATATTAAAAACAACAAAAATAACAATAACAAAAAAAGAATAAATAATAATAATAATAATAACAATAATAATAATCTGTAACAGAGCTCGAATTGTGGCTTTGGAACAGCCCTATTAATTTGGAATAAATTAAGAAGCAATACGCAATAGGCGAGCATCAGAAGAATGCATATAAAACTGAAGAAAGTTCCATGTGGAAAAACAATTTGTTTTTAATTACCTCGATGTAGATCTAGATATTTATAGATATATTAGTATTCCATAATATTTAAATAAATATTTTTATAAATATTTGACAAGATGAAATGAATTCCATGTTCCATGTGGAAAAACAGTTTATTTTTAATTGCCTCAATATAGATCCAGATATTTATAGATATACATGTTAGTATTCCATAATATTTAAATAAATATTTTTATATTTGACAAAATGAAATGAATTCAGCTGCTCGAGTATTTCACGAAACTAGTTTCAGTTGAGCACAAAATAATACGATTTAATATTAATAAAAAAAAAAAAAAAAAAATAGATGAAGCTCGAAAGATTAGAGCTGCCTCTCGAAAGGGCCAACCGGCTAGCCAGCGAGCCCCCTCAGAGACAAGCGAGATTTGGCACATCTATATCGATATAATCAATTCAAATATATGTGTGTAATTTGATGGCACAGAAAGTAGAATTTTAAAATATTCTAAGGCGACGATCAGACGATCAGATCGACTCTAGAGCTGGTAAACTCTCTATGGAGGAACTCACCTATGGATAGGGGTATCATGGGCTTCTGTGGATTGGGCTTGATCTGCAGCGCCTCGACAATGTTGCGAATGCGATTGTGTGTGTTGAGGGACAGAGACGAGCCCTTGATCCGCCACTCAGTGCGATGCTGGCCATCATCTTCGAATTTCTGCAGGTGCAGCTCCTGGACGAGCGACTCGTTAATGACTGCGACTCCGCTGCTGGGAGCTGCTGCCGGCGAGTTGGCGTGGCTGCTGCGGCGGCTTTCAAACTTGTGATCTTTGCTGGTAGCAGTGCTAAGCATTATCACCAGAGCAGGGTATGAACGATTTTTGGCACAGAAAAAAAAACAACAAAACAAAAATACAAAAACAACCAAAAGCCCAAAGGAAAGTCGAGAATTGAAACCAATTTGAGGCAGTTGCCGGACACGCGCTTATGGCTTCTCGGCGGGGCGGGACAGTTCAGTATTCAAATGAATGTAAAATTGGAGTCCTGATTTTCATTCCACACAAGCATTGGTGATGCAATCTCGATGATGGGTCTCTGGTCTGTGGTTGGGTTGCGTTGGCGTATCGTATTAGGTCGATGCGAATTCTGGTCTAAATCAAAACTGATTTACTCGGCTGATCTCTTGGTGCTTTTATCGGCTCTGGCTGCGCCGCTTGGCCGCTTTAATATATACGCGATATATATATACGATTTTCTAAGACATACATACATACATACATACATACATACATACATTCATACATACGTATATATGTACGGCACCGCACGCGCTTCGGCCGGACCCGAGCCGAAGAACAACAAAAGCTGCAACTTCGGCTTCGGCTGCTGCTCGGGCCTATCCACTGATTTGAATACTGTTGTGGATCGGTCGATCGATCGATTGCTCGGTCGAGACGACAAAAATAAGTAAATAAATATACATACGAACATACTTTTGCATATAAACAATATGTAGATTTTGTATAAAGCCTGATTCGACTTGGGACAAGATTATTTAGTTAAAAAACAAAACAACAACAACAACTACAGCAACAACAACAACAACAACAACAACATAACAACCACATTGTCTCATTTGCAAAATGCCTAAAGTTTTATCTCTTGATAACCAACAACAGTTTGATTACAACCATATCAGTTAGTAATATTTTAGTTTGATCCCAGATACACTCAATCCGTTCTACTATATATGTACATATATATTTCTCCTAAAAATATATCACATTGAATTGGATTGTAAACTGAAACGCAGTTTGCTAATCAGGCTACGGATATTCCGCATAAATGCATATGCATGTGGTCTATTAGGCGATCTATTATGACGCCTGCTGCCAATGGGAAAATGGAAATCGCGAAGACGACGCAATATCTGGGAGCTCAGAGCTCCGTGCAAACAAACAGTTTACGGCTAGTTATTACGGCAAAAAAAAAAACGAAAGAGAGCGAGAGAGCCAGCCAGACAGAGAGAGAGAGAGAGGGAGAGCGAGAGAGAGAGAGTAGCCGACCTGGACCGCTATTCCGGTCAGGTTTGTAACTTACATACATTTTACATAAATTTGTTGTTGTTGTTGCTGGTGCTGCTGCTGCGCGCACTTGGCTTAGTCACAGTTACTATCCACTATATTTAACCATATGCTAAATTATGTCAGCGGGCCAGATGAGAAGGCCCAAGACCAAATACTGGTTCGATTGATTCCGCTCTGAGCGAGCCTCCTGCTTACCTTCCTCTGCGAAAAAATAAAAAAAAAACGAAACTCGTTTCATTTGCGGTGTCCTAAAAAGTATTCATTCAATGCCCCACCTCACAGCAAAAGTGCAAATGCCAATGGTACTGATCGGATTAATTTATCATTTATGTCTACACAATAGCTTCGAAAACATCACATAACTGTCAAATAAATTTGATTAGTTTATTAACTAAATATGCTAATGTCTAATCGAAAATGTCTCGAAATGATTAAGTCGCATCATTCATTCCACTGGAATATTCTTAAATGGAGTATCCATAACTGGAGTATCCAATAACCCTTCAATCTCTCGCCTAAATTCAGCTTGAAGTGTTGCTGGTGCCCGCTGGAGGTAAGACAAGGCTTGGAAATGTTTCAGTACAATAGAATATACGATAAGTGTTGGAATTCGAGGCGTTAAGTGTCTAGTTTTTGTATATCTCTAGTTCTTACATAAAAATATATATGTAATAATATTAATATATATATATACATATATATGCAAATATATTTATATTTATATATATATATATTTAAACTGGTATTTAAATGTATATTAATATGAGCTACTGATATTTATTTCTGGTATCTGGTGATCTCAAACCATTTATTGTTGCATAAAAAGATCTATTCAAATTTCGCCTTAACGCATCATTCGTTTCGGCTAACATACAAATATCCACACATATATATATACACATGAATGTATATCAATGTGCACGGCAAATATATTGTTTATCATAGAGTTCATTAACATATTTTTGTTCATATACAATACAATATATAAAGTGAGCGAGTACTCTTAACATAGAACGTGTTAGTTTTTTGACTTTGATAGACAAACAAAAATATATATGCATATTATATTGAGATTGGAATTATTCGACTTATTTTTTTACAAAGAATTAACTTAAGCTGAGAGAGAGAGAGAGAGAGAAAAGATTTCAGCAGCACGTTTCACTCGGCTGGCAATTAACATTTAACTGTACAAAAGAAGGATGGCCGCGGCAGGATCAGTTCATCTGATATCTATATGGTATATTGCAGTTAAACACATCTACTTGCGTTTGAACATGTTGCTGAGCCGTCGCTTCGGTGGCGAGTTCTGCAAAGGAACAACGGAAGTTTCTCATATTAAACAAATTTCGATTGCAATCTTGATTATTGACATAAAATCGCCTGCTGTAAATCGCCTGTTGTGTGCCGCCTGCCGAATGCCGCCTGCTGCCTGCTGCCTGCCGCATCCTCAATTTGCTAGAGAAGCAACAGCATCAAGCCCACGACAGCTGTGGCCGTGAGGTAGCTACAGAACGGCATGAGAAATATGAACAAGACAATGCCAAGACTCAGGGATTTGGTGAGGCCCATGCGATGCCGCCGGCGTTGCCAGAGACGCATCAGTATATTGCCACGCCTGCGATGGGGTAAGTGTCGCGATTCGCTCAGCCGGTCCATGGTGGTCACGTTTATCTGGGGCAAGCGATGCGTACGAATGTGACTCAGCGAGTACGTCGTCCACGATTGCAGCGACGAGCAGTTGGTGTTGCAGCTGGCGTTCGAGGTGTTCTCTGTAGCGTTAGACGCGCTGTGCGGCTGCCTCTGCGGCACAGTCTCTATTAATTCATAGCTATATTGCAGCGGCTGCAGATCAAATGGCGCCGTCGAGGCTGTCTGGCGGCACAGCTCTTCGAAATGGATATCGTGGCTGAGATTGTTAACGGCAGCGATGCTAGCGCCGTCACTCAGCCATGCGCAAACGTGATCCTCCTCGAATTGCTGTAGCGCAGCCAAGTTGGAGTCGCGGTCGCAGTCGTATTTGGCGACCAGCGCCTTCAACAAAGCTGGCTGCTCCTCGTCATCCCAATGGGAATGTGAGTTGCTCATAGCTGCCCGATCCACACAATAAGTGGCCGCCTCAAGATCACTGCTGTGCTCCAGCTTGGACTCCGCCTTGATGTCCAGGCAATTCCAAGTCTTCTTATCCAATAGCATCGTGGCACCCATGGCCATCAGCGAGCCATTATTGCGGTTGAGCACGCAGTAATTGTTGTTCTCATTCGGCTTAGATAGGGCATACGTTCCATTGGCAAGCTTCAAAGATTCTTTGGTATCTTGTTCTTCTTCTTCTTCTTGTTCTTCTGGAGGATCTTCATCAGAATCGAGCAGCTGCCTGCCTCGATCGAACCATCCAATGCGTTGATCCTTAATCTTGCTTCGCTGCTGCATGCGCTTGTGACTCATCTGCGCCGTCGACGACAATCTAGCACGGGATCTGCCTCTGTTGCCGTACAAGTGAATGGATTTGCGCGAAATGGATTTGCGTCGGCGTCCACTTGAGACACTTTGGGTGGCGGATGTTAGACTACTGCTCGAGCTGATTGTTATTAAACGACGGCGACAGATGCTCGGCCTACCGCTCTGATCATTCGACGCCACCAAGGGCAGAGCATCGTTCAAGTGCGGTGTGACTTCCTGCTCTTGCTTTATCAGCTCCTGGCCATCGGCTGGCCCATCACAGTGGACAATTAGCTGCTGCCGCTGATCATAGAAGGAGCGGCTGCTGCGCGGCGTCGATGTACAAAACGCTGTTTGCAATTGACGGCGATGCATAATGCCCTTTAACAGGCTCTCTTTACGGTGACGCCGCCTCTGTGAAGGAGCATATTATTCTTTTAATGGGCCGTGGCGGCATCAACCACACAAAAGCACGAGGACGTTTATAGGGGGCACGACAACAGGCAGTAAACACAGGCTAAAACACAAGAGGAGACGACAGAAACACACAGATGCTCTTTGCTTGCTTTTCTTACCTCGTCCCGTGGCAGACATTGTCCTCCTCCTCCGCCGCCGCCGCCGCCGCCGTTGCCAATGCTGAAGCGAGATGCGAAGATCTTAAAGCGGGCCGGAGTCTTGGCCGTACCACTATTATCACAAGTCTCACGCAGTATTTCTCGCGGCGGCTCCGAGCCGCCAAACGACAGACGGCCGCCATTTTTGCTGGGCGTCGGCGGACCCGGACGCTTATAGTGTGTGCCCATAGACTTCTTGCGCATACCAGCACCGTGGCCATCTGTGGTGCTCAGCAGCGCACTCATGCTGTCGTCCAGGCTGTGTGGCCCATCCTGCCAAAGATGAGTTACATTAAAACACATTAAAGCCATTGGCCATTATTAGAGATGCAACCAACCAAGCGAAAAGCCTCAGCCCTCAAACACTCCCTTCATCTTGATCGCTATGGTTTTTGAATGCTTACTTTAATATCGTCCTCCTGGGCGCCCAGGTCATACTGCGCCGCATAAGCGCTCTTCAAATGCGGCGGCTGCAGCGAGTTCCGATACTGCAGCTCTTCGGCCCTTTGTTTAGCAAAAAAAAAAAAAGGAAATATATTAAAAATTAAATAACACTTATGTGAACGATGGACGTACGTCATATTGGGAACGGTGCCCAGCTTGAGATCCGTCAGGTAGGTGTTATTGAAGACCTCGCCCTCTTCGTCCTCCATGGCCAGATTGCTGCCCAGATTGGCGGATGGTGCACTTGGCCGCTTGAACGGCTGCCAGTCCTCTACAGCGGGCAGAGATGACATTGTCGGCAGCTCCGCCTCCTGCAGGTGCCGCAGCTGCGTACTGACAATCGCATGTTTCTTTTGCTCCTCCAAAAGCTTCTCATTCAGCCGCACAATCTGAGCAGATAGCTTTCGTATATGCTCCTCATACTTGGCGACCTATAATGTGTGAACATGAAAAGTATTTGGATTTAGTGGATTCACGACAGTTCGATTATATAGAGAAATGGAATGATATATCGTTAAATCGCGACGTTCATAGACATGCTTCGACCAACCCCTCCTTCTTTCAACTTAGTCTTAAGCCCAGAAATTCGGATAGTGCACAATGAAATAGTTTCCATTGCAGACATGATGATTACTATTATCACAGTCAGTCACTCATAATTCTAGCAGTTATGCCAACTCACCTGAGCATGCAGCTTTTCCAGTTCAGCCTTGTGGTTAGCCGCCTCGCGCTCCTGTTTCTCCTTGATACGGCTCACCTCCGCCGTGTACAATGTGCGCTATAGTTGTCAGATTATGTGGTTTTTAGGGTAAGTGGCGAGTGGTACGTGTGAGTAGTACGTGAGAGTGGTGAGTTAATGGGTGAGTAGAGTTGTATGTGAAAGTACAGGGAGGTAAGTGGTGATTGGTGAGTAAAAGCACAAGGGAGTGGTGAGTGATAAGAGTGAGTGGTGAGTGGGTGAGGAGGTTAAGTAAAACCAAAAGGGAAAATAGGATATCGAAAGCAAACGAAAAAAAGACAAATTTATATATATATATATATAATACATTTATGATTAGCTTTTCACTATGATGTCGTTACTTTTTGTATATTTTGTTCACTCTTTATTAGAATTGTTGGAATTCAGTCACAGAACACTTATTAAAGCTAATTTCATTTACAAACATTTAAAGAAAGTTTCGGACGTTTTTCAACTCAAAATTCACGCGGACTTTTAAATACTAGACTAATATCAACATTATTGGCCTGAAGAATTATATATGTTATGCCTAAGACAACGATCAACATCATCACTAGTCTTAAACAGATGTTTTCTTTATGCTCTTTGCATTTTTGTATTTGATAGCATTTGCCTGCTTTACGACGCTGATTCAAATTGTATTATGAATGTGTGTATGCAAAGTGTTTAGTGATAAGTGATAAGAGTAGGTATTGTAGTTGGTGGAGTAGAGAAAGAGAAGAGGAAACAAAGAAAATGCAATTTAATTTACAATGTGATTGACAATCTAGTTAATCTACTTGTTTGTGAATCGTTTGTATGCGTAACTACAATGGCGGGTTTAAGCAACAGCTGGTCGAATCGCCTCTCCTCTGATGATTGATTGCTAGAACGTCTTAATCAGTCCCAACCAACAACAAACAAATAAACAAATAACATAACAAGACAGAACAGGACAGACACAACTACGAAAGAGCAAACATAGATGATGTCCCTCTTAAAGAACCAATATTACATTTCAACATCTACAATACTGAATTCAAATGAGCTCTCACATGACGCTGACTACAACTGAAATTAGTTCAGACAAGGCAGCTCGAGTCGAGAGTGCCCGACTAGGGAATATCCTGAGCCATTGAAAACCCCAAATTCACTTCAAGAAACTACCCTTAGCGGCTAATTCAAATTCTGAATTATAAAGTAGATAAAGTAGAGTGAGATTGAGGATGGGAAAACGAAATATATATATACTCTATAAAAGGAGGATCTACCACGCCGCCTACTACCTTCCAATGGGTTTGGAGTATATATACACAGACAGATCGTATCATCTGTTAAATTTGCTGCAGACTAGATGATTTTTTCTATATACATTTATGATCCACTAATATATATCATATTAAAATCGTTTAGACATTAGAAATTTAGCTTTTTGGGTTGTTCACAGGAAAAATGCACAAACTGAAGTCATTAAGTTTAGGCATTTGTTATAAACTTTGATACTGAAAAGCTTCAGATATTAATCGCAAAATTAGCTCAAAAAACATCTAAATGATATATAATATTTGTTTTAGAACAGCGTCATATGGAGCTAATGAGTTATTGTGAGAACGAGAGAACGAATTGTATTAGAGCGCAAAAATAGTTAAGGCCAGCACAAATCAGACAACAAGAAGCATACGAGTACAATATGTTTATAAACTAGAACAAGTCGGGCGTTTACTTACCATTTTCGACTTCATTTTTTCCAGTTTGCCCTCCATCTCTAGACGGTGATCCTTCAACCGTTGCTCACAGCGAGACATCTCTTCCTTGGTTTCACGATACTTTGCCTGCAATATCTGGCAATCGAGGTCGCGCTGAATGAGGCTGTCTCGCTGCTGTTTCAATTGCAGCTGTGTTTCCTGCAATTCGCTGAAGCGCTCCATAGTCTGCATCTCAGTTGCCTTTATTAGCTGTTCATGGGCGCTACGGATCTCAGCTAGTTCAGCATTGCACTTTTCCAGTTCCTCATTCAGAATGTTCTGCTTACGCTTCAGAATTAATTCACGTTCCTTGCTCTTGTTGCGCTCCGCTTCAAGTTCAGTCAACTTATTATTTAGTTCAGACGTTAGGGACTCGTGCTTCTTCTTCATTGCTTCTAGCTCCTGGTGAGCTGCCAATAGTTCTGACTGCAGCTGCTCCAGATTTGAGCGGTCTTGCTCCGACTGCTCAGCACTGGCAGCGGCATTATTTTCATGGGCTATAATTAGGTCACGCATTGCGTCTTTGGACTGCTGCAGCTGGTCTTTCAACTCTGATAGCTGTTTCTTCTGCTGCACTATTTCAGAATTGAGTCCACCAATTTCATGGACCAGTTTCACCTTCTCATTCTCTGTCTTTTTCGCCTGATGCTCCAGATCGCGAATAATATTGTGAGCTTTCTTCGACTCTCTCTCATACTTCATTAGTTGATCACGATATGCATCGCGTTCTGACTCTGCCTCAACGCGTAGCTGCTCTAAGGTGGCCTGCTTCTCCTCCGAACGGTTCGCACGCTCCTTTGTCTTGCGCAAGTCCATCTGGAGACTCTCCTTTTCGTTTTGTAATGCAGTGATTAGCTCTGCCTGTTCGGTCTGCTTTGCCTTGGACTGAGCCATTTCCCGTTGTGTTTTGGATAATACCGCTTGTTGTTCGCCCAGTTTAATGGAAATTTTCTCCAATCGCTTGGTGCTCGAGTCCAGCTGTGTTTTGGTCTTCTCCAATTCGTCCTCTCTCTTACAGATCAAGCACTGAACATCTGCCAACTGCTTTTCGATGATGCGCTTCTGTTCTATCTGCTGTATTTTCTCCTGTTCCAGGTTCAAATTCTTGTGCTGCTCGCTCTTTAATAAATCCTCTAAATCATGAACCTCTGTTGCAGCTAAATCTTTTTCCAACACCTTCTGCAAAGCCAGCTCCAACTTTTGTTGAGCAGACTCTAGTTTTTGCTCTGACTGTTCAAGTTCGCCTTTTGTCTTCTCCAACTGCATAGATTTGGCCATGATATCTTTTTGAAGTGTTTTGATCGTAGCCTCGCCCATCTGAAGGAGCCGCGTTTTCTCCGCAAGGTCCCGTTGCAGCTCGTTATTTATCTTCTCCAAGTTCTCGGATTTAGCTACAAGCTCTTTTTGAAGCGTCTGGATGGTAGACTCGCCCATTTGAAGGACCTCCGTTTTCTCCGCAAGCACCCGTTCCAGCTCGCTTCTTGATTTCTCAAACAGCTGTGTTTTTTCCTTGATCTCTTTTTGAAGCGTCTCGATCTTAGACTCGCCCATCTGAACGATCTTCGTTTTTTCCGCAAGCTCCCGTTCCAAGTCGTTTCTTGATTTCTCAAACTGCTGGGATTTTACCATGATCTCTTTTTGAAGTGTCTTGATCGTCGACTCGCCCATTTCAATTAGCCTCGTTTTCTCCCTAAGCTCTCGTTCCAACTCGCTTTTTGACTTCTCAAACTGTTGAGATTTTTCCATGAGCTCCTTTTGAAGCTTCTGAACCGTAGACTCGCTCATCTGAACGAGCTTAGTTTGCTCCGCAAGTTCCTGTTCCAAGTTGTCTTTTAGCTTCCCAAACTGCTTAGTTTTGGCCATGATCTCTTTTTGAAGCCCCTGGATTGTAGATTCGCCCATCTGAACGATCTTCGTTTTCTCCGCAAGCTCCTGTTCCAATTTTGCTTGCATTTTATTGGCAGCCCTCAGTCCATCTTTAATGCCAGCCAACTCCTGAGACTCGGTCTCAGCATGATTTCCATTTTGTACCGTTGCTGCTTCAGTTTTAATATTAATGTGAAACTTGTGCTCAATGCTGCCCTTTGAGTCCCCATTTGTATTGCTAACGTCATTCTTATGAGCAGTTTTTAAATCCTTTTGGATTCGCAGCTCTTCGCCAATATTTTTGCATTCTACCTCTTTCATTGCCAGCTCTTTCGTAACATTATCACATTGCATTTCCAATTGACCTAGTTTGCCTGTCAGCCTTAGAATAGTCTCGTTGTGCTGCCTTTGCATTGTGTTTTGTTCCTGTTTCCTTTCTTCTTCGGACTGCACTGCATTGCGTTCTAGAACCTTACATTTCTCGTTCAATCGCTCATATTTCATCACAAGCTGTTTGAGCTGATTGTGCAAGAATTTAAGCTTCATGGGCAACGCTTCTGTGTTAACCTCCTCAATTGCTGGCTTCAAATATGGATTCATGGTGTCCAAGATGCAATCAGAGATGTTGCTTACGACCGTGAGTTCTTCAGATTGCTGCAACATCTCGGATTCCTTCTGCTTCAGCTGGTTCTCCATTCGCTCTACCCAATCTATCAAAATCTTCTCGACTTCTTCCATGCCTTTTTCCGAGGTTGCCTCCAGATTAAATCGAGCGCATATTGTTTGGATGAAGCTCTGCAACTGCTGTTGATTATTGCTTAGTGCCTGCTGAGCCTCGTTTACCAAAAGCTCACTATCAATTGCAGCCTCATTATCATTCAGCAGCTTCTGAGTCTCGATTATCCGCTTCTGGTAATCAGCCATCTGCTGCTGATAGTCACTTAGCTGCTTTAGAGTTGCCTTTAGCTGTTGATTAGTAGACTGTAGCTGTTCTTTACTACCATTCAGCTGCTTCTCAGTTTCTTTCAGCTCCTCTTTGCTATTATCCAGCTTCTTCTGAGTTTCGTTAAGCTTCTGCTGATATTCAATTAGCTGTTGCTGGTAGCTATCAATTTGCTGCTGGTAGTCGTCTACATGTTGCAGACTAAGATTTATCTGCTCCTGTGGCTCTAGCAGATCATCTTCGTCTAGCGGCTCCTGTTGCTCCTGCTCCTCCTCCTCCTGCTCAGCAGCAATTCTTTCTTCCTGAGCATGATTAAACTCATCCAAAGTATCTTTAAGCTTCTGTTGATATTCGTTAAGCTGCTCTTGAATATCATTCAGCTTCAGATGAGCCGCTTGAATCTGGCCGTTCGTATCGTTTAGCTGCAGTTGGTATTCACTAATATGCTTCTGGTTCATAAATATTTGCTTTTCCTGATCAGCAATTATTTCTTCCTTAGACAAAATACGCATTTCAAGATCTTGCAGTTCTTGACTACGAGCCAATGGGTCTTGATTTTCTGTAATGAACCGATTTTGTAGCAACATACGATTTATACCACAAATCTTAATTAATTCCCTACCAATTTTCGTTAGCTTAGCATCCTTCATTTGAAGCTGTTCTTTGACCCGTTCTGGAATCGTCTGGACGGCAATGTCACACTGCTGAACACTTTCTGGAGTTTCTTTATTGGTCTGGACGGCAATGTCAGACTGCTCAACATCTACAGGAGGAGTTAACTGACTCTCTTCTTTAATGGTCTGGACGGCTATGTCACACTGCTCAACATCTACTGGTGGAGTGAACCGAATCTCTTCTTTAATGGTCTGGACGGCTATGTCACACTGTACAACATCTACTGGTGGAGTTAACTGACTCTCTTCTTTAATGGTCTGGACGGCTATGTCACACTGTACAACATCTACTGGTGGAGTTGACTGACTCTCTTCCTTAAATGTCTGGACGGCAACGTCACACTGCTCAACGTCTACTGGTGGAGTTAGCATACTCAGTTCTTTAATTGTCTGGACGGCAATGTCACACTGCTCAACATCAACTGTTGGAGTTAACTGACTCTGTTCCAAGGCCTCCTCCAACTTGTTGGCTGTGCCCTCTTCATCCGGTTTGTTTTGCGACCCGGACGCTTTCATCTGAGCCTGCAGTTCCTTCACACGTTTCTGTTCTCTCTTGTAGCGGACGGATATATCGGCCAAGCTACGCTCTACCAGGCCCAATATCTGTGAGTGATCAGGCGACAAAGTTATTTCTGGTTGATAAGGCTGTACAATCATTAACAATTCATGCAGAATGCTCTTCTTTTCTCTAACAATGGCGTCCAGTTGATCGCGCAGATCATCGTTTTCGAGCTCTTTCTCGCGCAACTGCTTGTCAATTACGGAACTAGCTAAAGTTTCCGGTGTAGTATTCATACTAGCCGTCGATTGACTTGTATCGAGCAAATCCGACGAAGCGTTGAGGACCTCACGGCCATTATGCAACTCGGTGCGAGCCTCCTGCAGGCATCGCTCCACCTCCAGTTTGTCACGCAACAGACTAGAGATTTCAGCGTCCTTGGTTGTCAACGACTGAGTAGCAGCAGCCAGTCGGAGTTCCAGATTTTCTACCTTTTCAAGACAATCGTAAAGCTGTTCCTCACAGGATTTGTGCTGAGAATTAAATAAATCGGTTTGGTGAAATTTTAAACACTTTCTAAAAAATCTAAAATCCACGAATGGAAAACATTGATTTCACATTTAAGTTGCCCTAAACATAGCATACATTTTTATTGAAACTAACTTGGGTGCCTTTTTATGTGCTCTGGGTTATTATACTTCTACAATAAGACAGACGGAAGGAATCATATGTCAACTAATAGAATAGATGTGAATATTCCTAGACTATATGCAGCTGACTATGACTGAATGAAGGTCTCTATGTAAGAAATTAGTCAATAATTTATACAAAATAAAAAAAAACTTTATCTTTATAGTAAGATTTGGTAAATATTTGTGTCTGCTAGCCTCTAGCGCTGCATAAATTTAAATTCATTTACATGGAAAATCATAAATTTAATCTATGCATATTTAATCTATGTGAATAATCGCAATACAATGTTTTACTTTCCCTTTATCTATATTCTATTTTCAGACATTTTACCTTTTCTGTATTCTACTTTCTGTCTTTAGAACCTACGTAAACATTTGTACTCTGGATTAAGCGATAAATGTGCGAATGTAATATTATTAGATATAATATAAAGTTGGAACGTACCCTCTCCGCTAATATGTTATAATTATCCTTCAACACCTGCACTTCATCTCTGCTCTGGGCAAGAAAAGCCTCCTTCTTGTTAATCTCTTTGAGCAGCTGTCGTTTTAGCTATTATTGCGGTAGGAAAGAGCAGAATTAATACAAGATTCAGGTATAAGCGGCGTCTACCTGCGCCGCGTTCAGCACTCAATAACATACATTCTCAATTTCGTCGGGTACAATGTTATGTATGAAAGTACGCTCTTCGCTATCATTTTCCAGCGAGGCCGCAAGCTTGGCCAGTTGCTGCTTTTTCACAGTATTCTCTGTGAAGAAATTCAATTGCAATTAAGTTTGTTCATAAAAGTCGAAGATATGTCTTCGGTTCATACCTTTACTAAGCGAAGAGATTAGTTGCTCATTCTCCAAAATCTGGTCTTCTAAAACAGTCTTTTCATAGCGCTCGGTCTCCAGCTGAGCCTGCGAAAGTTATTAAAGAATTAGAATATGGCTGCGAGATTAGATGTTCTTGAGTTGGTAGATTTCTTACCCGCAATCCTAAAACCTCGCGTGTGCGCTGCTCGAGCAGCACTGTTTTTGGTGTCGACGGAGCGTAATTTGGGCTAACATCTAGTAAGCTGCACAGCTCACGTTGCACTGGATGGGGAGTGGCAAAATTCGTGCCCACAGTCGAATCGTTGTCGATTGAAGCCGAATCCTTACTGTTGCCATCGAGCTCAGAGGATTTTAGATCAGCATTATTGTCGAATGTGGCGCCAATAGTTAGGAATGTGAGGCCACGCGACTGCGACTGGGTCGGAGACGATTCTGCACTCTCAACAATTTCACTGATGCCGGCAATGGTCTCGCGCAAGTGAGAGCGATTCATATCTGGATTTTTCATAGCCTGAGTGAAAAATGCCGCCATGTACTGCTGTGTAAGGTCTGGCAGAGTCCTGCAAATATTATGAAAATATTCGCTCGGGCACTGAACGCAAGCGTAGTGCATGAGAAGTGTGTAGACATAGGCATAATCATTTGCCATTATACGGCCATTGCGCTCCAGAAGCGGCTTAAAGTGTGGATACACATCTGAAAACAGAAGTATTCATTATTCACTTTAATAGCGTTTTGAGCATCCGAATGCACCTTTCAAAAATGTCTGCAGTTCTCCCGGAGAAAATGGGGATGGGCTTTTGGGCGACGATGCCGATCGTCCAGATGACTGCCCAACCTGAACATATTGGGTATATTGTTTGAAAAAGTCCTCGATTTCGGAATCTTCAAGACATATAACATTTGTAAGGAAATTGCACTTCTGAACCTAGTATTAAAAGATAGGAACAGAAATTAATGGATGATCGGGCAATCCCTAGCCGGTTTCAGTAACGCCTTTAACAAACTTACCCACTGCAAGAGTAGCGCTTTCCACATACGTAACTCCATACTTAAAGTCAAAACAAAAAAAAAAAAAAACCAAAAAAAAACAAACTAAAGATATACAAATTAAGACTACACGCTAGCGTCAGTTGCCTGCGAAAGAAACAACATTCGTTCACTTTAGTACATGCCACGGCACACAATATGCATCAACATTATCACTATTATAATAAATTGCACTTTTTCTGGAACTTACACGTGTTTCAATCTTCAATCTTGCTTAAATCGACGCTCGTTTGAAACTGTGCAAAACTAATTCCGGACGCTAACAAAATGGGCGCGCTTGTTGCGAATTGCGATACTTTCACTTATCGAATAATTTTGATGGAGTACCGATTACTCATGTTACAACAGGTCCACTGTTGCGAATATTTTGTTATTTTGTGATATTTTGTGAAAATAATATTTTGGAAGAAAATATTTTGAAAAGAAAATATTTTATTTCGAAATATATATATATTTTATAAATGACTGGGAGGTCTGTTTAGTTTGATGTAGTTTTACTTTATGACTAGTTTGTTCCCGTAGACGAAATGAGGTCGACTCGACGAGTGAATTTGTATTCTATGAAGACTTGATTATGATAATTTAGTATGCCAAGTCCCATAGCTTTGAACAGAAACAGAATCGTCAGTATTTATATATTTCTAAATAAAAACAAAAACAAGTCGAATAATATTCGCTTTGGCGGTTGCTTTATGAAATTATCATCTCATATTTGCGCCAATGCTTTACTCATTTTGGCACTGTTGCTTTATTAAACACTTAGACAAATATGCAACAAACTTTATATTGTGGCAAACGAAATGAAATTCTCATGCAAAATCACAAAGATTTAGCTCGAGCCACGAATTAATTTTTATTATTTTTGATACCGGGCCAAACGATAAACACATAACACTTACCGAGACAGACATTGTAGGCTAACAGTGCCAAATTGAGTAAAAAATCGATAGGTACAAAAATGAGCACCATAGCTTGGAAGATTGATGGCTTGATAATCCAACGTAAATTTAAAATGCTGTTATAGCTTCTTTATTTCATAATTTATTATTCTTTTTAATTTTTTATTTAAATATACAAATACATATATAGAGCTACATAAACATTTAAATAGAATTTATAAGATTCTATAGCATCGACTATATTGTCTAACTTACGTAATTTCTACATTTTTTTCAATATCACAATGATGGCTTAAGATCTGGCATTAAATATTTCAAGTACATATTACGCGAGATTCCACAAATACTCATTTTAAATAGTAACGTCTGCGATTCAGGTACGTAAATATAAACAGATGTACATCATAAATATGCCCTGAAAATTATAAGAATCGGACATGGAAAACAACATTTAATTTATAAATCCAGCGTATGTGCAATTGTTTGTGTGTAAATGAATAGTCTCAAGATACAATGTGTGCAAGAGCTCCACGGCACGAGGCTTTGTTCATCTCCTGCACTGGCACTTCCCAATACAGTTACTATACTTATTAAACGTGTAAGAATGCTCGGCAGTAGACTAGCAGATACTCTGCAATGTCTTCAATTCATGAATCCTCAAAGCTAATTAAATCTCAAGTTTTTATGGTATTCAAACTATGCCAAAAATACCAAATCAAAGTAGTGAATGTTAACGATATTAGGGATTGAAGGACTGGCACGATCTATGGGGAGGGAAAGGATATGCCCATATTGCATTGTCTCTAGCTATTGTTCCAGCTCTAGTCTCTAGGCTCTAGCTTTGTCGTTCATGCGGACAAGCATTGCCAAAGCGCCTCAGTTCTTTGTCCTGCTGGAAAGTATTTGTAAATACATAATTATAAATTTGTCATGTCAGAAAGGCCTCATACCCCGAATTTCTCATTTTCTATTCACGTTACAAAAACTAGCCATTTGGCACGTTTTTCGCGGGGTATCCCCCGACCGGTCAAACACCCCACGGTTTAGTTTGCCGCATAGCTCACGTATGCTGATTTAACTATAATGCCTACCCTATACCACCAGTCATATGCGCCAGAGCTCTGCTGTAGGCCAGAGTGGCATGCCATACACTAAAGTAAACGTATCAAAAATCTGTTCTAAATCTATTGTCTGAACTATGATCATAAACTAAACCGCAAATGGGCGAGAGTGTATTAAGGCTTCGGCTCTCCGAGTGCTCAAACACATTCATGGATATCTGTAGATATATAATATATATATATCATATATACAGACATATACACGTATACATTTGCCATGTGCTCACAAGTTTGATGCATGTAGATATATATACATATACGTACGTACGTATGTATGTACATATATTCACACATATTCCGAATCATTCACTGTAATGTAAATAAACAAACAGTAAATATTGTGTGTGCTGCTGCTGCTGGATTCGATACATACTTAAAAACAAATGCTCGGCCACAAAAATGTTCGAACCGAAATTTCGTGCGGATGGAGAGCCGTAGAGCCGTAGAGCTGTAGAGCCGGAGAGATGAAACTAAAGGCAACAATAACATTAAACGATGTCCGGATCGCTTTGATTTTTCATCAGATCGGTTCAGTTAGCATTTTCGATTGCTCGACGCTCCGGGCCGAATGTAACGCTCTGATTGTGCCGCGCGTTCTTCCATCCAGTTAGCTGGCATCTGCCTTTCCTTAACCAGTGTTCTCAATTAGCCAATTTATGAGCCCAATGGCAACTGGCCATCGCCCCCACTCCCACACAGTGCGCAGCGCCGCAGCAGCTGCGACGCTGGCCATGCAGATCCCCAATATGACGGGTTCGCTGGAGCGTGGCAAAAGCAGGACGAGCATCACGTCCATGTCGGATGATGATATCATACAACAGAACCTCAAGGAAATCCTAGACATCAAATCGCGAGTAAGTGTGAACCAAGGAGTGAGTCAGTGTCCTCTTATCATTATCGGTGCTGTTGCACCTGGCACCAACGAGAAATTCCAACACTGATTCATCCAAAGTTTAAGGGGCTGTCATACGTGTGTGTGTGTGTGTGTGTGTGTGTGTGTGTGTGGACGCAGAGACCATATGAACAGCGCCATCAAAAGTTTCATTCACATATACAATATATATATATATACTTATATATATATGTATATATATATATATATATATATATATATATATATATGTACAAATATATATATGTATATGTATATATGTATGTATATATATCTCTCGATCTGATATGCACGTCTGTATGCATAATACAAATTTGCAGATGCTCAGATCTTGTGCGAACGTGAGATTATAAACAATGTTAGCACACACACATACACACATTCATAAGTATGTCAGTTGGTATGCGTGTATGTATGTATATCGATCCATTCATAGCCCAGAATATTACAGCTTAATATAGGGTTACTCTTCTCTTACAGTTTCAAAGCCACGCCTCTATACATACATATACGTACACATACATATGTATATGTATGCATATTACGTATGAGCTCTACATATATACATATATGTATATGTATATATAGACGTTCTTTTACAATCGTCATTGAAAGTGAAAAGGGTATATACATAAGTCTCGTGCAATGTCTATCCGACTTTAAGCTTGAAATATAATTATTTACTCTATGATTACTCCAGTTGGATCCATTGGCAAATACTCTGAAATCCTGCTCCACTCATTCTACCCTTCATACACTCACCCAACACGTTCTCTGCTTACTGCGCAGTTGACGCAGCGACTGCACTTATAGCATTTACTATAGGAAATCAAGAGCAATTTTTGAATAGCTTTTGTGCCAAGTCTTATGCACTTTATTGTTAATCTTTATATAGTAAATTGATATCTACATTCTATATATGTATTTGCTTTTAAGCTTAAGCCTCTACAATTCGATAAATCTTCTTTCAAGTAGGGAAACTATCCGAAATGGGAAATACTTAAAACATATGGACCTCTGCAAATTTCACAGAAAATAATTATTTTCTTAATATTGTGGCATTCAAACCATTATAGGGCATAACTTAATGGCATTTGTATGAAATAGGTTTGGCTGGTCAAATTTTCACTAAAGAAATCTAAGTATATCATCTATTCAGATAATTATTTAACTACATTTTCCATTGCAGGAGGAACGAAAAGCCAATGGACGACTTGTGGCCGTGATTGTTGCCTTTCTAGGTAAGAAGAACAAGAACAGATATCCCAAAAACCCAATTATATTAAATATATAATTAAATGAAGAATTGCAACTATTATTTTGATAGCTCTGCAAGATATTTATATTTGTATATATTCTTAATTAGGACGACAAGCCTATTCGTTCTAGTCATGTCCGTCCGTCAGTCAGGCGATCTTCTCTGCGCTTCTCACCTAAGCCTAACAGCTTTACATGAATACTTTTTATGCGAAGTATGTAGATTTAAGTATGTAGACTTCATGTCTCTAGGAATAAATGAGCTAGTAGTTCTTATGTGACTAGTAAGAGTATTTCGAGTCCCATTCGAAAAGACAGTTGGATAGGAAGTCGAGTGGACGAATGCAGGACAAACATTCCATTGTAAATCATAAACAAATAAAAATTTTCACATGGATAGGACTAGTTGTTCGTCATTCAGATCAATCAGCAGATTTTCATCAGAAACTCATGCCTCATCAGGACCGTTTTCTCTGCAATTGAATCCATTTAAGTAATTAATTTTTATCACTACTTCTTGACAGTGATCTTCATGGCTGTGTATCATGCCTGGATACGGAAGACAGCTGCTCTGGCTGGGATGCTGGTGCCCGCTGGCATTATGCTGTCCTACGGCGCCTGGGTGGTGGTCCTGGCCAAGCGCGATAAGCACAGGCGCGCCATGTTTGTAGGTGCCACAACTTGTACATTCTAAACTTGAACCTTAAACCTTATATACGCTCTTGTTTCTAAATGGCCGTTCCTTCGCTTCGCAGGAGCGGCATATTGAGGAGGTGGCTCTGAAGAACAAATGCGAGCTGGAGCAGAAGCATTCCCGAACGAAGCAGGCCAAGTCAGGCAATCACAGCGACAGCGGCAGCAGCACTCCCTCTTGCAGTCTGCAGTATTCCAATGAACTAACAACTGGCGGCAAGCATCGCAACAGGCAACGGCGTCACAGACAGCGGCAGCGCGAATGCGAAGTGAACCTGACGGAATTGGGGCTGTCGGCCGACGTCAAGGTGCACCGAATAGAGGCCAAAAGGCCAAGCCTTAGGCAAAAGCTCTTCGGCCAAACAATCGCTCATGTGAAGCTATTGGAGGTGCAGTGCGACAAAGCGGACATGACGAAGCCAGCGGATTCGAAATTGTCCACGGCCCCTAAGTTGGGTGGGAAAAAGGACAATGAGCCAACATCTTGACACAGTGGCAAGTGCCACAAGTGAAACGCATAGTCTCAACACCGCAAGGGTTGACGCTGAAATGGACTAGCAGAGAGCGTCATTCTGGATTTGCCAATTTTAAGATTTACCAACGTCGCGACGTCAACTGAATATTTGTACCG